ACAACGGTGCAATAATATTGGTTTAACCTGTCAACAAAATACAAATGAAATTCATATTTTATGAAGGGATTACTTCCACGTAGGGTCCACAGTTCGAGTCTCCTAGCTAGAGCCCAGGTATATATATATATATATATATATATATATATATATATATATATATATATATATATATATATATATATATATATATATATATATATATATATATATATTTAAATTATTTTAAATTTATTTAAATTATTTTAAATTTATTTAAATTATTTTAAATTTATTAAAATTATTTTAAATTTATTAAAATTATATAAATTTAATATATATATAAATTTTCTCTAATGTTTTTTCTTATGAAATGATAAAGCTACCCATTTCATTATGTATGAGGTCAATATTTTTTTATTGGAGTTGAAATTAACGTAGATATATGACCGAACCTAACCAACCCTACCTAACCTAACCTATCTTTATAAGTTAGGTTGGGTTAGGTAGCCGAAAATGTTAGGTTAGGTTAGGTAGTCGAAAAAAACATTAATTCATGAAAACTTGGCTTATTAGGCAAATCGGGCCTTGCATAGTAGGCTGAGAAGTGCGTTCTGGCTACTAGGTACGACATATATATATATATATATATATATATATATATATATATATATATATATATATATATATATATATATATATATATATATATATATTGTCTTCCATCTTCCTTGAGCTCCGTTCCTTCCCTCTCCTAACTTTTTCCTTGAAGATGCACACAGCCTCCAGTTCCTCTCTCCTCTCCCATCTCTTCCTCCAAGGAGTAGCAATAACTAACACACACATTCAAGGTTTAGTGCACAGATTCGGACAAGTTGTTTGAAATTCAATGTTGTATATTGCGTTCGAGTTGGTGGCGCTGGCCCTGGGAGTGGTGGTGCTGGGAGTGGTGGTGCTGGGAGTGGTGGTGCTGGGAGGGGTGGTGCTGAGAGGGGTGGTGCTGGGAGTGGTGGTGCTGAGAGGGGTGGTGCTGGGAGTGGTGGTGCTGAGAGGGGTGGTGCTGGGAGTGGTGGTGCTGAGAGTGGTAGTGTCGAGTCCTGATAGAGCTGGACCGAGTAAGATATATATATATAGACAGTCAGGTTACACAAAAAATGGTAGCAGAGCACGTCTTGCAAGACTGAAGGAAGCGACCGCTGGCACGTGGGGGTGACGCTGCTGCTGCTCTTTCTTTACCTTACCTTTCCTTACCATGAGTGCCGGTGTTGTCTAAGACCCAGGTGTGGCCTCCTGCAGGTGTCTGGCATCATAACAACGTCTCGTCAACCATCCCATCTCCTTCCCCCCATCCCTTAAGGCATCAACTAGACAATCACCAGGCCATTCACCCCTACCTCCCTACCAATCACCGATTCACCATTCACTCTCCTCGATTTTCTACCCTCTTACCTGTTGGTTAACCACAAACCTATCTTCTCTTCCTCTTGAGGTTATCTTGAGATGATTTCAGGGTTTAGCGTCCCCGCGGCCCGATCCTCGATCAGGCCTCCTTTTTGTCACACACCCCCCAGGAAGCAGCTCGTAGCAGCTGTCTAACTCCCAGGTACCTATTTACCGCTAGATGAACAGGAGTTTCTAGCCAGCATACACCTGCCTAGACGAACACCCATCCAGGTATTGTCCCAACTTGTACTCCTGACGGAACGTCACATTTAGACGTTTCACTACCCAAAACTAAAACTTGTCGTACTAGAAAATGGAAGCGGCTCGCGAAATTGACATACTGTTCCGTTTTCTGTTCGTGGGTCCTCTGATAGCTTAGGATAATGGCTTCGCTTTGATGTCCAAAGGGATTGGAAAGGATGTTAGGTGGACGGGCTGACTGTATAGACCCTACACCATCCACCCCCTTATACTCGAGTCCGTATACTTATATACTTGAGTGCGTATACTTATATACTTAAGTCCGTATACTTATATACTTGAGTCACCCCTTATACCCGGGTCCGGGTAACAATAACAGAGACCAGCTGGACGTGTTGACAATCAGGAGGCAAGAATGACGTTGGAGTCGTGATTAGTAGGAATATTAAGCCAAATAATTAATAAATACACATATACCTTTTCATCAGTCTGTATACACTATAACAAGGGGGATATTAATGTGCTCTCTCTCTCTCTCTCTCTCTCTCTCTCTCTCTCTCTCTCTCTCTCTCTCTCTCTCTCTCTCTCTCTCTCTCTCTCTCTCTCTCTCTCTCTCTCTCTCTCTCTCTCTCTCTCTCCCAACCCTTATTTATCACTTGACTCGCAAGCGATTTGAGAACAGAAGCTCTGAGCATTAAAATCATATCAGGCGATAATTTACGAGCATTTTACCCAGTGAATGGCCAGGGGGCGCAGGCCCCCTGGCTCCCCACACTGTGCCCTGATCCCTCCCCCCCCCCAGGGACCCAACATGATACCATCTTGTATCTTGAGGTTATCTTGAGATGATTTCTTGGCTTAGCGTCCCCGCGGCCCGGTCCTCGACCAGGCCTCCTTTTTTGTTATTTCCCCCCCCCCACCCAGGAAGCAGCCCGTAGCAACTGTTTAACTCCCAGGTACCTATTTACTGCTAGGTGAACAGGGGCATCAGGGGGTGAAAAAACTTTGCCCATTTGTTTAAGCCTCCACCGGGGATCGAACCCGGAACCTTGGGACTACGAATCCGAAGCGCTGTCTACTCAGCTGTCAGGCTTCTTACCCAGGCCGTCAGCCTCTTCAGTGGCCAAATTGTCTCTATTCTATTTCGCGCTCTTCCCTTTCCTCTCCTATTCTACTTTCACCTTTCCTCTCTTCAACTCTTTTTCCTTAACACTTTTATCCCGTTTTCCTCTTCCCATTCATTCTGAACCTCTGGGAGGGAAGAAAGAACAGGCGATGAGTAGAAGAAGAGGGAAGGGAAGAAATGGGGAGTAGCAGGAGGCAGGAAAGAGGGACAGGAGAGAATAGAACGGGCAGGAAAGAGGAACAGGAGGCAAGAGAAGGGGCAAGAAAGAGGAACAGGAGGCAAGAGAACGGGCAAGAAAGAGGAATAGGAGGGAAGAGAAGGGGCAAGAAAGAGGAACAGGAGGGAAGAGAACGGACAAGAAAGAGGAACAGGAGGCAAGAGAAGGGGCAAGAAAGAGGAACAGGAGGCAAGAGAAAGGGGCAAGAAAGAGGAACAGGAGGCAAGAAAGAGGGACAAGAGGGAAGAGAAAGGGCAACAGGAGGAGCTAATGCAGACCGTCTTTCTGAGATATTTATTCCCAGTATGGACTGGGCCTCCCCAGCCGCATACAAAGAGACCCCTTTGCTCTTACCCAAGACAATCCTGGGAGTAAAATAGTGTCATCCCCATGTTTTCCCCCCCCCCCTCCCTCCCTCCCCACAAATATGTATTACCATATTACCATATTATATATATATATATATATATATATATATATATATATATATAAACAAATAATTGTAGACAGATATGTGTAAATATGTATACTCCTAACATATACTGGAGTGTATGTATATACACACACACGGAGAAATAAATAGCGAGAGTAAATTTATTATCCATTTTCTTCTTAAATTTCTCCTTTACCATCTATACATTTCCTCCAAAAAAACTTGTTTTGTCTTAAAGGCACACGTTTTATGCCTTTTAGTCCAGGCCAGAAGGTTTCCGGGTGACAGAGTCAGACAGGGACAGAAAGAGGAATGGATTAACAATAGTGAGGACAGAAGAAGAGGTAGTGGCGTCTGGTATATATATATATATATATATATATATATATATATATACATATATATATATACATATATATATATATATATATATATATATATATATATATATATATATATATTGTAAAACTGAGTTATATTACCTTCAGGTGTCTTAAATAGAGTGCAATGGAGCTAAGAAAATCTGAATGATTGCTTCGGTAAAGTAATTTTTGAATGAGGCCCTTTAATTTCAAGTAATTATATAATATTGAGCTCCACGTATAAAACCCGCTGTGTGTTCCTGGGGGAAACAGAGTGTGTTTGTTTTACACATGTTGTGTTTTTCCTGGAGTAACAACGATACAAGTTTTAAAGTTTGCCTAAAGATAACATTTTGGGGGGGAAGAATCGCCAACAATTCCTTTAGCCGGCCGCGTGAGACCCGGGCCACCCTGAGTGAGACCCGGGCCACGCTGAGTGAGACCCGGGCCACCCTGAGTGAGACACGGGCCACGCTGAGTGAGACCCGGGCCACCCTGAGTGAGACCCGGGCCACCCTGAGTGAGACCCGGGCCACGCTGAGTGAGACCCGGGCCACGCTGAGTGAGACCCGGGCCACCCTGAGTGAGACCCGGGCCACCGGTTAAAGCCTCGACCGCCCACGGGAATCAGCCGCCCGTGATTCCCTACCCGCAGCCAACCCTGACCTATATGAACACCGCCCCCCCTTACCCCCCCTACCCCCACCCCCTCACTCTTCTGGCCTCCTTGCACGTCTCCCCCCCCCCCATCACGTCTCACCACCCCCCCCCCCCCAGCACGTCCTCCCCCTTCCCAAAACACTCCATACCATACACTCAACATACACACAACACCGCTCCTGTGGCAGGTAAGTCCACTACGGGCTCACCATAGCCCGTGCTACTTGGAACTTGTTCCGAGTAGCTGAATCTATAACAACAACAATTCAACATATTTACCTGAGCGCGTACAGAGGAGGAAGATGGCACCGCCAACCCCCACGAATTATAGGAACCTCCCTCATAAAGAAAGATTAAAAATGCTTAACTTCTCTAGAAAATTCAATATTCTCTAGAAAGACGAAAAATAAGTGGTGACGTGACTGAAGTGCACAAGTGGATGTAAAGATATAATAGAGGGAATATAATTTTTTTTAAATCTATTAACATTAAGCAATACTAAACCTATGTATGAATTCCCCAAGTCGATTGCCAATTTGCTTATTATGCTTAATAACTACAAATTTTCTTTCCCGACAGAGACGACGCGTGAGAAGTGTTGGAAGGAGACGAGGCCCCCAATGCACGACAAATAGGCATCCCAAGACGCCTTAGGACGCCTGTAAGACATCTGCCGGACGCCCTTAGAACGCCAGTAGGACGCACACATGGCGCCTAGTACCCGAACGCTTAATGACCTACTATACCCCTAGCAGATATCTTCCTTCGACTAACTATGAGCAAAAAATATGGGCTTGGAAAGACACTCCTGGGCTCCGATGGGCGCCCAGCGCCTCCTGGGTCTCTCCCCGCGCCTCCCAGGTCTCTTCCCGCGCCTCCCGGGTCTCTTCCCGTGCCTCCTGAGTCTCTCCCCGTGTCACCTGGGTCTCACTTCACGCCCTCGCCAGTCCGACCGCAGAAAACCTGGTGTCTCACAAAGCGTGTTTGGCTCATGAGGCCGGACTCTGGCTCCTGTGAAGATACCGAAGAAAACGCGGTGACACCAGATGGCGGGGAGATGTCCTCAGAGAACCAACTCGTGTTGTGCGGATGCAGCCTGGGAGACCGGCACGTTCATCAAGAGTCAACAACTTCCCCTCTAGCTCTACAACCCATGACGGACTGCGAACGACCCTCAGCATTTCGAAAAATATGCGAAGTGGCGGAGGTAATGCAAAACAATGAGACGGCGACCAGGTTCCACAAGCGCTCGCGATGGCGCCACCGTCGTCAAGGCTCCTGGCGGCCAGCTGTGACTCTGCTGGTGGTGCTGGCCGCTGTCCTGCGCCCCGTCCTAGCCTGCCCCTCGGCCTGTACCTGCACTCCGCTCTCCACTTCTTCCAGGGTGGGTAGCCCGGGGCCCAGAGAGGGCCGCAGGGCCAAGGGCGGTGTGAGAATGGCATGTGTGGGCATGGGACTGTCGGCCGTGCCCACCACCATCAACAATGACGCTCTCGACAATGCCACCATCACCAGTATGTGAGTATCCTCTGACTCTTCTCGGCACATGCTTCGTATTACTTGCCTTGGCTCCTTCCTAATAAGAAAAAGTCGTTCAACATTAAACAAAATTAGTATTAATATATAACTATAGGGATAGGGTTAAGCGGATACAGTATAAATTGGCACTCTTTCTTTTATGCCAATCCCAATCCAGCCATGTTGGGTGCGTACCTAACAGCAATTACTGGGAAAAGCCTCAAACGGACAGACAGACATTTCCATTTATTGATATACTATGTGGGATACCCGGCGGTGTCCGGGAACCTCAGATCTCTACCATCAACTCTCCCTCTCCCATCTCTTCCACCACTGCTTCCCCCTAAATCCCCTTACCCCTCTTCCCTCTCTCCCCCTCTGCTTCTTCACTCCCCCCTCCCCTCTTCCTCCCCTCTATCCTCCCTCCCCACCCTTTTCCTTCCATCTCTCCCGAATCTGAATCTGAACAAGCCTGGGGGACCATCTGAATGGTCCTCCAGGCTTGTTCGCATTTGTGTTCCTCACGTGTGCCCCAAATAATGAGGTGATTTGATAAAATACCATGCCTAAGATTACCAACCGAGTGCCGGCGGGGGAATGGAAATAGCCTCGGCTACCGTCCTCTTTTGTCTGGTCGTGTTGGTCGAGCGGTTAAGGGATCCTGTACACCAGCAGAGTGCTCCTGGCAGTATGGGTTCAAGTCACTTCTGGGGTATGAGTTGAGTTTTCAGTATATATATATATATATATATATATATATATATATATATATATATATATATATATATATATATATATATATATATATATATATATATATATTATATTAAATATGACCGAAAAAGTTTCTTTTTCGGTCATATTTAATAATATATGTCTACAGGAAAGACTGCTACCAAAATATACTAATTATATATATATATATATATATATATATATATATATATATATATATATATATATATATATATATATATATATACATACACACAGAGAGAGAGAGAGTCAGTCATAGAACAAATCGGTCAAAAGGGGGGAGAAACCAATTAAAGAAGATTAAAGTTGAAGGAAAAATGTTTGGTATGAAGTTTGGCAGAAGTTGTAAACTGTACGGCAAAGAATTATGTCTGACGGAGCCACCAAGACAAATTCTATTACTGATAAAAAGACGAGTCGCTATGAAAGTTGCAAAGTTTCCTGCTGGACAAATCTCGACTTTCATCGTGAAATAACGCGCGAGCACACGCGCACACACACACACACACACACACACACACACACACACACACACACACACACACACACACACACACACACACACACACACACACACACACACCACACACACACACACACACACACACACACACACACACACACACACACACACACACACACACACACACACACACACACACAAAGGAGGCTATTTACATATACACCAACACTAACGACCTTGTTACCCGCCCGTGCTAACTACTGTCACCAATTACCCAGGCAGCTGCCATGATGGACGCTGATGGTGGAGAGGGGGAGGGAAGGAAGGGGGAGGGAGGGGGGAGAAACGAACAGAGAAACCTAAGAAGAAGGAGAAAATAGAAGGAGAGATAAAAGTTGTAGTGAAGACAATAGAGGCTGGCCCCGTGTATCCACCTTTATCTATCTACTATCGTCTGCGTCATTATATGTGGAGTCACCTAAGTCATTATATGTGGAGTCACCTAAGTCATATGTGGAGTCACCTAAATCATTATATGTGGAGTCACCTAAGTCATTATATGTGGAGTCACCTAAGTCATTATATGTGGAGTCACCTAAGTCATTATATGTGGAGTCACCTAAGTCATTGGAGTCACCTAAGTCATTATATGTGGAGTCACCTAAGTCATTATATGTGGAGTCACCTAAGTCATTATATGTGGAGTCACCTAATTATATGTGTCACCTAAGTCATTATATGTGGAGTCACCTAAGTCATTATATGTGGAGTCACCTAAGTCATTATATGTGGAGTCACCTAAGTCATTATATGTGGAGTCACCTAAGTCATTATATGTGGAGTCACCTAAGTCATTATATGTGGAGTCACCTAAGTCATTATATGTGGAGTCACCTAAGTCATTATATGTGGAGTCACCTAAGTCATTATATGTGGAGTCACCTAAGTCATTATATGTGGAGTCACCTAAGTCATTATATGAGGAGTCACCTAAGTCATTATATGTGGAGTCACCTAAGTGTGCTTGTAGGGGGGTTCAGCCTTCCGACCACAGTAGTACAATGCAATTTTTCTTCCCACTTGCCTTTCATATCGTGTTTGCATATAAAACTGTTTTAAAGTAGTATTGACAGCTTCCTCCTCTAATGCATTAAATTTACTTAGAACTCCTATAATAAAGAAGTTCCTTTTCACGTCTCTATGACTCATTTGCGTGTGTCTGTTGAGTGCGTTTGTTTGTGACTATTTTTAGAGATATATATATGATAGTTGGATCAAATCTTAGCCGGTTATACAGTCAGAGTTGGAGCTCTGACGCTAAATAAGAATTAAGATGATGTACAAAATCCCAATGGCCCGGTAAATTAGGATTAAATGCGCTCGAAGTTGATTATTTCACGTAATGCCAGTTAGACTAGACTAAGTTTAGATTAAGGATCAACCGAGGAATTCCGCAAGGATTGTTGGACTCTCTCTCTGAACCTGGAAATCTTGTTTTGAATGGATAAGACGTAGTAAAGTTAGTTCCAGGCCAGGCCAGACGCAGCGAGGTTTCTATCAACCCTGAACAACTTACATCAAGGTTCGCTTCAAGTGCAGATGAGACGCAGCGTTGTTGGTCCCAGGCCTGGCCAGACGTGGCTAGGTAAAGTCTAGACCAAAGCACACACACATCAAGGCTTGGTCGAGGCCATGATGCGCCATACACAGCGAGGGAGAGCTCCGGGTCAGGTATAGGGCTCATAAGCGCGCGTCAACGTCCGATCCTGACCCGTATCAAGGGAAAACTTTGCACACACTCCTGAGCCAACAACCACATCCCCCCCTCTCTCAACTCTACGGGATTATGACGATCAGTCATCTTCAAATACAGGGAGGAGGTAAGGAGGAATAGTAGAATAGGGAGGAGGAGACGAGGAGGGGGCAGAGGGGGGAGAGAACACGACAGCAAGAAAAATCGAGTCATCACTTGGTCTCGTGTGGAAAACGACGAGCGCGTCGAGCTACCGCTCAGCCGACCTGAATCCTTCACCCGCGCCCGTCCCCTTTATCTGGCGGGTACCAGTAGGCTTGCCGGGTGCTGCCTGGCTGCCCAAAGGCCAGAGGCGGTGACCCGTTGAGACAGCCATCAGGGTCGAGGTTGTCCTGCAAGGGCTGCACTGAATGTCTACCCAACCCCGCTTGTAGGTAGATGGGCTTGATCACTGTATTTCCCTTGATTTGGGTGAACTACGGCTCTTGGGGTCTCACCTCTCGACCCTTAATCAATTGGTGTATGGAGTTCAGGGCCTGTTAGGCTCTGTCATACCTACGTTTATAACTGTGAATGAGTACTGCCTCCACCACTTCATATTTTGTTTAGTGCATTCTATTTGTTCACTATTATGACTATTTTGTTACTACTGGTGTGTTGCTCATTTAGGTACTTATTTTACATCCGAATCCTTTGTTTGTGTGCTACCTATGCTAAATTGTCTGTCGTCTGGACTATCTAATCCCTTATTTTGTATGTGGTGATCATGTCTCCCCTATTTCTTCTTCTCCGCCAATTACTAAATGTTTAATTCCTTTAGTCTGTCTTCTCTTCCTCTCAGCTTTTAGACTAGTCCAGCTTCGTTTTGTGATTATCGACACAAGATTTCGCTAGAGCCTCAGATTCCAGAAGTTCTCTGACATAAATGGTATTATGGTCTTGTACGACTCTTTGCTCAAATACCTGCAGGTAATACTTGTTTCTCGTTCTATTGTGTACAGAATAATTTCTTTCTTTTTCTGTGCTCTTTGTTTGTCTTCAATGTTCTTTCCTGATAGTTCCCTTTCCTTCTTCTCTTTGCCTCCAGACTGTTTGTTAGGCCGTGGACTAATGTTCTCCTCGGTGCCCTTATCCCTGAGTGGTGGTACAGAGCTTTCTTTAGCTTCCTTGAGTTTGCTCGCTACGTACTCTATCATGTCTTGTCTTCTTTTCCCCCGTGCTATTCCCCCACAACAAATCTTCTGACTGGAATGGGTCCTCCCCATTCCATTTGCCAGCTTTATACTCTCTCCCCCAACGCTGGAACAACATCCTCAAGCACCGGTGCTACATATGATGCTTATATAATCTAGAAAGCATCCTTCGTATAGGTTTTTAAAGGTTGTACTGATGCCCGCTAGCTTAGCATATGCTGCTGATGTGAATATGTTTAGTGTGTGCGCCTTCATGGGATTGATTAATGTTATGTCCACTCCCAGAATCGTTTCTTTCACTAATCCTGGCCAGTTCCTTCCTTGCATTATGTTCATCTGGACTTCCTTACTCGTGTCTCAGTCCTCATGACTTTGCACTTATCTGGATTCAAGTCCAGCAACCATTTGTACAACATTGCCTGCGAGTTATTTCAGTTCTTGAAGCCTCCTGAAGTTATCATTCGCTCTGCTGTTCCTCATTAACTTTACGTCATTAACTAAGTGGTACAAAAGGTTATAGAAACTAAAATTTAAAATCGTTATTCATAAATATACAAGTGTTTACACTTTTGCAAATTTAAAAGCTCGAGTTCATAAAATGTCGCGCATTTATAATTTATATAGTTTGCGAAAATTTCATATGTATAATTAATAGCCTATGGTGCTCATTATAATTATATATTACATACTGTCTGATACACAACAGCGAGACCTTGTTTGCCACGGTGCTAATGTATGTAAACTTTGTAAACTACGTCTTTGTTTACAAATTACCGGCATTCAGAGATACATCATGTAAAACAGGGACCCATAACAGATAATTCAAAACAGAAAAAACAATATGATATTTACAATTTAAAAGATAATATAAATACAATTTAAAAGATAACATAAATACAATTTAAAAGATAACATACAAAAAGGCATGAAATTAAATAAATTTCGAGAGCTTGAGCGTTTTACATGAGCCGTAGCCTGAGTCGGGCCTCTGGTTCCTGTGAAACTTTCATGAGAATGTTCCCTCATATCTGTGTGTTTCCTAATATCGTTAATCTCTCTCTCTTATTTATTAGGTAGTTTCTCACTCAATTCATTACCCCCTGATAGTTATTCCAGCCTGGTTCTTCTAAGCTTTTACAAGGGGGTCACTTTTAAGTGCGTCAGTGTGAAATGGTCATCGGAGTATAATAACAGTATGAAGACTCTGCGTGCTTTCATTCATGATTTGATCTCAGTTTGACAGCATCACCATTTGTGTGTGTACTCACCTATTTGTGCTTGTGGTGTGTGTGTGTGTTCACTTGGTTTGAGCTTCAGCTCATGGTATTACCCTCTTAAATGTCAATCGACTATTGTAGTTGCTTGTCTTACCCAATTCTCCACCATAATTGTTGTAGGATCCATGCCCAACATGGTCGGGTGAGGGGGGGGGCATTACAATTAAATGAATACAGCGAGCCATGATGCCATAGTGATCCTTGCAACTCTGGTAATGGCTTGACTTATAAAAACGATCTAAAAAAAATATTCTTTGCATGCAGTAAAACATTAAGCACTGATGTCTGCAAAATTATAAGAAAAACATTATTTCGTACATTGGCAGTATAAGGTAAATATGTGTTGATGACATTAACACCATGGCAGCTGTATCCGGGGCTTGAGGTGGTGGTGGCCACCTCTCTGAACCCCAGCTCCCAGAGAGAGAGAGAGAGAGAGAGAGAGAGAGAGAGAGAGAGAGAGAGAGAGAGAGAGAGAGAGAGAGAGAGAGAGAGAGAGAGAGAGAGAGAGAGAGGAGAGAGAGAGAGAGAGAGGAGAGAGAGAGAGAGAGAGAGAGAGAGAGAGAGAGAGAGAGAGAGAGAGAGAGAGAGAGAGAGAGAGAGAGAGAGAGAGAGAGAGAGAGAGAGAGAGAGAGAGAGAGAGAGACATCTTATACACAGGTCCAGGCCGAGAGAGCAGTGAGCTGAGAGTCTCTGTTGAGATACAAGAAGGCGGAGGGGAAGGGGAGACAGAGAAGGAGGGAGGGCAAAAAGAGAGAGTAGGGATGAGACAGAGATCCAGGCAGCGTGAAACCGAATGAGAGTGATGCATAGAGAGAGAAACAGACAGCGAGAGACAGAAAGACGTATATATGACATAAACAGAGAAACAGTATACGTTTACAAAGAGGCAGATACAGAGAGAGAGAGAGACCAGGTCGACCCCAACACTGCTGGATACCGATCTATATATATATATATATATATATATATATATATATATATATATATATATATATATATATATATATATATATATATATATATATATATATGATATAGCAAAAAACATATAAAACACAGAGCTTTTAATTGCAGGAAAGGCAGTGTTTCTTATTTTTCTCATGTGAATTTCCTGCATATATGAGGATTTCTATTTGTCCAAGGTTGGAGGCCAGATGCTTTGGGCTAGCCTCATGAAACTTTGCAGAGTGACTTACGGGATATATGGGGAGCGTCAGGACGGGTTGGGGTCGACCCCATTTAGTGGGGGATAGGCCCTCCCCCCTTCATGAAGTCATGGGGAGCTGACTGGAATTAGCCTCGAGGTCATTTATATAGTTTTATTTATTGAAATTTGTTCCGTATTCACATATTAACATGTAAAAATCCCTCTTCTGATGACTAATATTACAAACCTGTAAGAATCCTAACTTATTTTCAGTGACTTAAGCATCAACAACTTGACAAGTCTGCCGGATTTCGCCTTCAAGGACTACCCATCGCTCGGTTACCTGTAAGTATTGCTCGAGTTCTCTAAGTTTTCTTTCACGCTTGGATGTTCTGTCCATTGCCTGGATGTACTGTCCGTATATGATCTACACTCTTTCACACTGTATTACACTATTATACATTGTATTATACACTGTATTATACACTGTATTATACACTGTATTATACACTGTATTGCACTGTATTATACACTGTATTACACTGACGACGATGTTGTATTTCAGGAAGGTGTCAGGCAACAGGATCAGCAGCATATCTCCCAGGGCCTTCCACCGGCTGCCTCTACACAGCCTGTAAGTCTTTGTTATCTTTAACGTTATCTACGTTATCTCTTGTGATACCTTCTTCCACATCTTTATCATATATCTTGTATGGTTGGTATATCCTTTATTAATGTGTGTGTATATATATATATATATATATATATATATATATATATATATATATATATATATATATATAAATATATATATATACATATATAAATGTCGTACCTAGTAGCCAGAACGCACTTCTCGGCCTACTATGCATGGCCCGATTTGCCTAATAAGCCAAGTTTTCCTGAATTAATATATTTTCTCAATTTTTTTCTTATGAAATGATAAAGCTACGCATTTCATTATGTATGAGGTCAATTTTTTTTATTGGAGTTAAAATTAACGTAGATATATGACCGAACCTAACCAACCCTACCTAACCTAACCTAACCTATCTCTATAGGTTAGGTTAGGTAGGTAGCCGAAAAAGTTAGGTTAGGTTAGGTTAGGTAGGTTAGGTAGTCGAAAAACAATTAATTCATGAAAACTTGGGTTATTAGGCAAATCGGGCCTTGCATAGTAGGCTGAGAAGTGCGTTCTGGCTACTAGGTACGACATAAATATATATATATATATGTACTCACCAAATTATATATGTACTCACCAAATTGTGCTTGGGTGAGTACAAAATGTGTGTGTGTGTTATCATTGTTATCTCTATTACCTTGACTACTCGTTTTATTTTTATCACACGATATCTAAGATATTTGTGGTATTAACTCGGTTATATCTGCTAGATTGATGTATCTACTCTCTTTGTTGTGTATGATATCTTGTTGTGCTTCCCTTATATCTGTTATCTATTTAATTTTTTTTTTTTTGTATATCTTAAGATTATGAATGGCCCTTTTAACTCCCTGATTTATAAAGACGATCTGGTTTCGTCCGTGACCTCATTTAATCACCTGTAACTACCTCGTCTCTTAATGACTCTGTTCCTCCTGGTTCTTAAGGTGACCTGTGTAGTGACCTGCTCCCCCCCCTATTGACCTGTTGTGAACCTGGTGTCAAACTGACCTCAAACCACCTTGTTCGCTCCTCAGGTACCTGGATAACAACCACTTAAACGGCCTGCTGGCAGGGTCGCTTCCAGAAGGTCTGCTGGAACTCTCGCTGGAAGATAATTTCTTCAATATGGTTCCCGCCTGTGTTGCCCAGCTGAAGGATCTGCAGTTTTTGTAAGTGTTTGTGGGTGTGTGGGCATGTGCTGGTCAGAGAAGGGGTGTGTGGGCATGTGCTGGTCAGGGAGGGGGTGTGGGCATGTGCTGGTCAGGGAAGGGGGGTGTGGGCATGTGCTGGTCAGGGAAGGGGGTGTGGGCATGTGCTGGTCAGGGGGGGGGTGTGGGCATGTGGGTCAGGTGTGGTCATGGGGTCAGGGGGGGGGGTGTGGGCATGTGCTGGTCAGGGAGGGGGTGTGGGCATGTGCTGGTCAGGGAGGGGGTGTGGGCATGTGCTGGTCAGGGGGGGGGGGTGTGGGCATGTGCTGGTCAGGGAGGGGGGTGAAGGCATGTGCTGGTCAGGGAGGGGGTGTGGACATGTGCTGGTCAGGGGAGGGGTGGGAATGTGCTGGTCAGGGGAGGGGGTGTGGGCATGTGCTGGTCAGGGAGGGGGTGTGGGCATGTGCTGGTCAGGGGGGGGGTGTGGGTCATGTGCTGGCTCAGGGAGGGGGTGTGGGCATGTGCTGGTCAGGGGAGGGGGTGTGGGCATGTGCTGGTCAGGGGGGGGGGTGTGTGGAGTGCAGAGCTTTCTTTCCTACTCTGCTCACTCTAGGAATTCCCCATTACTTTTTAATAGTTTACCATACGCTAGTCCTCTTCCCTCACGCTCTCCCTTTCCTGGGGCCAGATTCACGAAGCAGTTACGCAAGCACTTACGAACCTGTACATCTTTTCTCAATCTTTGGCGGATTTGCTTACAATTATTGAACCAGTTAATGAGCTCCGAAGCACCAGGAGGCTGTTTATATCAATAACAACAGTTGATTGGCAAGTTTTATGCTTGTACACTGTTTTAATAAATATAACCAAAGACGTCAAAGATCGAGAAAAGATGTACACGTTCGTAAGTACTTGCGTAACTGCTTCGTGAATCCGGAAAATATATAGGGGATACCACCTCTGGTTATTATATATCTGGACACCTCTGGCATCTCTCACTATATATTGACCGCCTGGCTAAATAATTTCCATTACGGGCTATTCATGCTCTTGCCACCTCTTGGATGGCTTAATCTTTATCAATCAAACAGTTCCCAAACATCGGATGTATATGTCCCCTTACTAGGCCTTCTCCCCCCCTATAGGAACCTCGCTCGGAATAAGTTGACTGGGCTGCGTGCAGAGGACCTGGCGGGACTGCGCGGCATGACATCATTGTGAGTAAACAAAGAGCACGTGGTCCAGACATCATTGTTAGTAAAAAAAAGAGCACGTGGTCCAGACATCATTGTTAGTAAACAAAGAGCACGTGGTCCAGACATCATTGTTAGTAAAAAAAAGAGCACGTGGTCCAGACATCATTGTTAGTAAACAAAGAGCACGTGGTCTGGTCCCGGCTTCCGGCTTTGCGTTTCTCTAACGCACCTTCCCCAATCTTCACTTGTCGGATTTATACCGTGGTCATGATCTTTGAAATGGTTAATGTCTGTTGAACAAATCCACAAGGGCCGTGACGAGGATTCGAACTTGCGTCCGGGAGTACCCCAGACATTGCCTTAATCGACTGAGCTACGACAGGGTTAAAAGGGTTGAAACCGAAGTTCTACTGAACTTACTGGATCCTTGTGGATTTGTTCATTTGATGCATCACGTTAGTGTGATCTCTGTGTGTGATAATGTCTGTTATTTAACGAGTTCTTGTTCTTTTCCGTGATTATTATTATTATATATAGCGTTATGTCACTTAAGAACGGTATAGCAAGATTTTTTGAGAACAATGGGTTAAGGTGATAATTGTTCTTGTTATTCTCCTCTTTATTGTTATTTAATTTCATATTATAGCAGATACAATTGTGTGCCTGTACCTTACCTGTGTCTGACCTGGGTGTGTGTCTGTTATCACCTGGCAGATCTCTCCAGCAGAACAAGATAACAGAGATAGAACCAGCAGCCCTCCAGTCCCTATCACAACTGCAAGTATTGTAAGTATCTCTCATTCGTATCTCTCACACTCTCCTCTCACTAGTATCTTTCCCACTCTTATCTCACTAGTATCTCTCACACTCTCCTCTGACTGGTATCTTTCCCACTAGTATCTCTCACACTCCTCTGACTGGTATCTTTCCCACTCTTATCTCATTCGTATCTCTCACACTCTCCTCTCACTAGTATCTTTCCCACTCTTATCTCACTAGTATCTCTCACACTCTCCTCTCACTAGTATCTTTCCCACTCTTATCTCACTAGTATCTCTCACACTCTCCTCTCACTAGTATCTCTCATTCCCGTGTTTTTATTCGTGTTTCTTATGAGTCTCACCAGTGTCTTAGCTAGGTTACTTGTGTGTCTTATATGCATCTCGCCAGTGTGTCTACCTGATGCTTCCCATGTCTCCACGCAGTCCTCACATGTATGTGTCTCACCTGACTCTCTGCCCTCAGGGACCTGGCTGAGAATCAGCTGGTGAAGGTGCCGCCCGCCATCCTCAGCTGCCCCCAGCTCACTCGACTGTAAGTATGTGGCTCTGGGTGCTGTTCTGACACCTGTATAGAGAGTGCCACCTTCATCTGACACACACACACGTGTATATGACACCCACACTGGCTCTTGTATCTAACACTCATATGGCACTACCTGACACCAATAAATGCTCAACCAAATTTGGCACTATATGACACCCCTAGAGGAAGGTCATCTCTAGACAATGATGGACAAGAATCATCTGGTCCACTGGACCCAAACCCGAAGCTCATCTGTCCTCTCTCTTTTCTCCCCCGCTCACAGGCTCCTGGACAACAACCAGATTACCTACATAGAGGAAGGAGCCTTCGCGGACCTGTCACGCCTGCAGCAAGTGGTGCTCCAAGGGAACCCTCTCCTGACGGTGCACAGAAACGCCTTCGTGCACCTGCCCTCCCTCACCAAGCTGTAAGTGTCCCCCTGGCCTGAGGTCGCCTGTAGTCTCCAGGAGGGGACGGAGGGGGTCTTCTAGGGAGGTCGTACGTATATCCTAGGGGGTCTTTTTGAATCCTCTCAAGTTGCTTAAGTCCTGTTCATACGACATTTCCCTGCCTATGGCGTTAAGCAAGGTCGGTTCATGTATTTATTTACGTAGATTCATTCAATCAATGACACCTCTTCCCGTATCAGGAAATTTCAAGGGCTCTCTTATATAGAAAATAATCCAGGGGTCACTGATCGATATCCTCGAGTCAGACAGGACGAAGGAGCTTTCTTAATCAGGTAAGAAAGGGGTATAAAGACCGCCCCCTTCCATCCAGACCAAATAGTCAATGATTGAACCAGCAAGGTCAAGGAACCCTTTCCTCAAACCAGACAAGTTCAAGAACTTCTTCGGTCTTAAAAGAATCACGGATCCCTCTCTCAAGGGTAAGCAAGAGTCAAGAGTCTGAAAATCAAGTAAAGTACCCTAATAATAGTTCATTGACCCTTCCCGACTTGTGCCAAGTCTGACAAGGTCAAGAATCCTACCATCAGAACTGACAGGGTCAAGAATCCTACAATCAGAACAGACATTTTGATAATTTTTACTTGTTGCCGCCTAAGGCGGCTAGTTTATTGTGCACTCCATACTCATCCTGTGAGCGGTAGCGCAAAAAGCATTACAGAGGGTCTTTATCAGACCTCAACGGAGATTATTACATAAACAATTTCATCTGTCTTTCACAACTTATAGTTACAATGTCAGTTAGTTACAGAGAAAGTGCTATTTCAAGAGCTATATATTTACAGTAAATCATTATACATACATGGTAGGTCTTATACATAATTGTTTGAGCAATGGAGATATTACAGAATCATAGGGGAGCTGCTGTTTATAATTAGTCTTCGCAATGATCAATGATTCCCCTTACCAGTCCAGGAAGGCCGATTTGATCCCTATATCCTGGCCAGGTATCCTGTAGCCTGGCCAGGTATCCTGTAGCCTGGCCAGGTATCCTGTAGCCTGGCCAGGTATCCTGTAGCCTGGCCAGGTATCCTGTAGCCTGGCCAGGTATCCTGTAGCCTGGCCAGGTATCCTGTAGCCTGGCCAGGTATCCTGTAGCCTGGCCAGGTATCCTGTAGCCTGGCCAGGTATCCTGTATCCTGGCCAGGTATCCTGTAGCCTGGTCTGGGGCGGTATTGAACACTTTGTGAGTGAGGTTCCACCCTGTGTGCTGCAGGATCCTGAAGGAGACGCGGGAGCTGGCGGAGTTCCCCTCCCTCAACGGCACCCACAACCTGGAGACGCTGAGGATCGACCGGGCCTCCCTCACTTCCGTCCCGGACCACCTGTGTTCCTTCACCCCAAGACTCAGGAGTCTGTAAGTCACCCCACCGGGGGCTTGGGGGGAGGCGGGGGCTGGGGGGAGGGAAAGGCATGGGCTGGGGGGGGAGCGGCATGGGCTGGGGGGAGAGGCATGGGCTGGGTGGAGGCATGGGCTAGGGGAGGCATGGACTTGGGGAGGCATGGGCTCGGGGAGGCATGAGCAATTGAAGGAATGAGCTGGGGAAAGCATGAGCTGGATATGGCATGAGCTAGGGGAGGCATAAGCTAGGGGAGACATAAGCTAGGGGAGGCATGAGCTGGGAGGCATGAGCTGAAGAAGGCATGAGGTGGAAGGCATGAGCTGGGAGGCATGGGCTGGGAGGCATGGGGGAGGCATGGGCTAGGGGAGGCATAAGCTGGGAGGCATGAGCTAGGGGAGGCATGAGCTGGGAGGCATGAGCTGAAGAAGGCATAGGCTGGGAGGCATGGGCTGGGAGTAACACCAAACAGCTAAGAATAATTTAAATCCGAGATTCATCCATCAAACCTGAACTTGGACTTCTTCCAAGGAGGATTTTCATCTGTCTTAATAATATTAAATGCACCATTTGTTATCATATTGATTTAAAAAAAATTATATATTTTCTTTCATATCGTATTTAAAATTTGATATTTGGGCTTGCCATCAGTTCTGGCGTGTTGCTGAAGGGAAGAGAACAAGAATTAAATATGTTTCCTTTGTTCTCTGAAGTTCTTGTTGAATAACCGAACTTTTAATTTGGCTTGTAATTTGAAACCCCTGTTTTCATGGCTTGAAATTGCAAATTTGTGTGTGTGTGTGTGTGTGTGTGTGTGTGTGTGTGTGTGTGTGTGTGTGTGTGTGTGTGTGTGTGTGTGTGTGTGTGTGTGTGTGTGTGTGTGGGGTGTGGGTGTGCGTGACCTGGTGCCATGACCTGGTATTACAGCCCGAGGTCATGAACTCATCTGAACCCTTGTGTCAACAGGAACCTCCACCTCAACTCCATCACCAACATACCTCTCCTGGAGGGCTGTCACCACCTCAGACTCCTGTGAGTACACCTTATATACTTGTGTATGTATATATTTATTTAATCAAAACGCTTACCAGAAAGTATAAGTGGGTTTCATTGCAATGTTGATGTGGAAATTACAGTCTTATGAAGGCCCCTTCAGCGGTGTATGAAGGGTTTGGTGTTGGGCTTAAGCCCCATCAACCTCTGGAGGGTTATTAAGGTAGGGTTAGGTAACTATTAAGAGGAAGGAACTATCAGGGAAAACCGCGAAGCCATTACGACTATATAGTACTAGGAAGGGCGTCAGGATAAGGATTTGGGATGGGACTGGGGGAAGGAATGGTGTCCAACCACTTGGACGGTTGGGGGATGGAATGTCGACCTGCATGAAGCGAGGCCGTCGCTCTACCGGCCAGCCCAAGTGGCAGGAGGAAGCACTAAACCAGTATGACTATAGAGCACTTGGAAGGAATCTGAGGACACTTACGGGCTATTCATGCTCGTGCCACCTCTTGGAGTGACTTAATCTTTATCAGTCATCTATGAGGACTACTTGTGTAAAGGAGGAAATGTATATGTTTATTTCTCAGAATGTTTGGCAATATGTTTATTGTTTGTGATGTGTGTCTATATATGTATGAACACGTTGTACTGAACGGGGTGAGAATAGCTTGAGCTACCTCATCCCTTTGTGTGTATTTTACCTCAATAAACTTATTTCAATTTCAATTTCAATTCTATAAGGACAGGGAGCCGGGTTTCGACGGAGGGAAAGGACGGTGCCCAACCATTTGGAACATCGGGGATTTGAACGATGACCTGAAAGAAGCGAGATCGTTGGTCTATTGTCGCGTCTAACAGTCGGTGTAAGACATCAGTCCGTGCTATATCTCGCAGTCAGCAGTAATATTTGAGTAGTAAATATTAATGGTTGAGGCGTTCATTTAATATTATTTGATTACAATGGTATTATATAACGAGCGTTTGTTTGGTCTTATGAATAATATGGAAACTGTTGACCAGACCACACACTAGAAGGTGAAGGGACGACGACGTTTCGGTCCGTCCTGGACCGAAACGTCGTCGTCCCTTCACCTTCTAGTGTGTGGTCTGGTCAACTTACTTTAGCCACGTTATTGCGACTCATCGCCTGCATATGGAAACGTCTCTTGACCTTGACTTACCTGGGCGTGACTTTGGCAGTAGTAATTTCTTTTGATTTATTGACTTTTGGACCACATTACTGGGCAAGACTATAGGCGTGGGGATCGTTGGGTTGTTTCAAGCGCAGGTTAGACATGTATACGAGTTCGGTTAGGCATCAACAGCAGCTGCTTGTGATGGGGGTCAATCTCCTCGGGGTTTGGCTGCGGCTCGTTGACCGACTGTGCTAGTTATGGAAACATGTGACCTTTCAAATACGTTTATTGAGACAATAAAAATACATCTCAAAGGGATAGAGTAGCTTACGCTATTTCTACCCCCACCCCCCCGCCCCCCTAAACATGTAACCTTGCATGACCTGATTTCCTTTCGGCAGTGACCTGAGTGACAACGCCATCAGCAGCCTGGGTCACGGGAGGTTGAGGGGGGCGCCCCTGCTGCACGACCTCCTCCTCCAGCACAACAAGATCACCCACGTCCCCGCCGACGCCTTCCTGGGTCTCTCCCACCTCCAGGTTCTGTAAGTATTGTGCCCTTGGTGTTTATCTTAGGTCACCAGAGGTCACCAGAGGTCATCAGAGGTCACCAGAGGTCACATTAGAGGTCATACGTGTCGAATTCAGTGTGTCTTGACTTAAATCAGTTTTCCTAGAGACTCAGTATATGTTAGGCCAGAGTGACCACACACTCGAAGCACCTCAATCACGTAGACTTTTATTTACATTGTGTTCTCTTAACATCATATCCATAACACTATTTTAAGCTTCTCCGTCTACTGTTCAGAGAAGAACTGTGTAGAATCAAGATGGGACGGAGAATTGAAAGAGATATTCCTCCCTCCTCCCCAGGTAACTGGGGAAACTGGATGTAAATCAATCGGGGGATCGTGTTCTGGGGGGAAATATGGCGCTAATTAAGCAACTTAACCGGTTCTGGTTCTTGACCCGAGGCTTAAATTTTTACATAATTTTCTAAAATTAATTCAGCCAAATGTTCATTCTATCAGCTTCATGCTCTCTCCTTCCATCCCCCCCCCCCTCCTCCTTCCTCCACACCTCTCCCTCTCCCTCCACACCCTCTCTCCTCCACACCTCTCCCTCCTCCACACACCGTCACATTACTCACAACCAATGCCTCACCTTGCCATGTTCCCTCCAGGGCGCTGCAGAAGAACCAGATCACTCACATAGAGGAGGGCGCCTTCCTGCCTCTGGTCAGCCTCGAGGACATGTAAGTACTGGCTCAGGCCGCCGTCAGCCGTTGGGTACCTCTGTGACGGGTCTTCCCGGGGCTCGCAGTGTTCCTTCAGCGGTGTCTCAGGGTTGACGCCGGCTGAGGCCAGGAACCCCGGAAGTGTGAAATGGGATTAGCGATCAGGGGCCAAATTTACGAAGCAGCTACGCAAGTAATTACGAACCTGTACATCTTTTCTCTCAATCTTTGGCGGCTTTGTTTACAATTATTAGACAGTTAATGATCTCCGAAGCACCAGGAACCTGCTGGTAACGGGACTGCCATGTCAGAAGTTAGTAAATGGGTCTGGGATAAGGGGTCAGGATAGGCAAGAATATGTAATCCATGCGGGAATAATAATCCATTCGCTTGACTACCTCCTTTCACACTGTGCCTACGCCCGATTGCCTTTCTCTTACCTTCTTATCCCGTTCCCTTACTCCTACCTTCCTCATAAGGTACACTTCCCTCCTCACTCATCCCTCTGGTAGCATCCTGGGAAGAGACGTGACGCTAACTGTTTCACTGAGAAAGGGGTGGGGGGGGGGAGGGATTTAGAGCTACTCCCTGTACTCCCTTCATCTTTCCTGCCCTCCCATCACCTTCCCTGCCCTCACGTCACCTTCCCTGCCCTCACGTCACCTTCCCTCCCATCACCTTCCCTGCCCCTCATCTCACCTTCCCTGCCCTCACGTCACCTTCCCTCCCATCACCTTCCCTGCCCGTCCCCTCACCTTCCCTGCCCTCAAGTCACCTTCCCTGTCCTCACGTCACCTGCCCTCCCATCACCTTCCCTGCCCGTCCCCTCACCTTCCCTGCCCTCACGTCACCTTCCCTGCCCTCACGTCACCTTCCCTGCCCTCACGTCACCTTCCCTCCCATCACCTTCCCTGCCCCTCATCTCACCTTCCCTGCCCTCACGTCACCTTCCCTCCCATCACCTTCCCTGCCCGTCCCCTCACCTTCCCTGCCCTCAAGTCACCTTCCCTGTCCTCACGTCACCTTCCCTCCCATCACCTTCCCTGCCCGTCCCCTCACCTTCCCTGCCCTCACGTCACCTGCCCTGCACACTCCAGGCGACCAATAACACGCTGCCTCTCTCTCTCTCTCCTGCAGCAACCTTGGGGACAATGTTTTCCCGCAGCTGCCGCACGAGGGTCTGAAGCACGTGCTCTCCATCAAGGTGCACAACAACCCGCACCTGCGCGTCTTCCCAGGGCCTGAGCACTTCCCACAGGTGCGCACCCTCGCCCTCTCCTACGCCTACCACTGCTGCCCCTTCCTCAGGTGAGCTTCGCTTCTCGATGTGTAGGTCCTTGAGTTCGGCGGGTGAGTGTTTGTCTTACCAGAGGTTAGGGGCCCCTGGCGTCCCTCTTGGGAGGGGAGGACTGTTGTCTTTCTCGTGTAAATGTGGACGTTTTCTTAAGATGTGTTTCTGAGATGGACTCTTGTTTTTTTTTAGGGAAAGTTAATCTTCCTCAGGGGGAAATACTTCTTTTTTTTAATTTGCAATGATATCTGAGCAGAGACCTCTGGCTAATAATTACCGCGTGTCGCCTCCCCCCTGGCAGCCTAGAGGAGGAGGGCTGGACGGAGGAGGAGCCATCGATGATCGGCGAGGACGTCCTCTTCGACGTGTCGCAGTTCCAGGACATCCATCCAGGACTCTGGAACACCTCCACGCAATGGAAATCCGAGGGTGAGACTGCGTTGATTAGTTGTGTGCGGGGGGTTATCTCTGTCCTATATACATGCATATGCTGCATCATTTGTGCATATATGCACATCCAGTCATGCATATAAAGATATGTAGATTATTTATTGAAATATTAAAGTGTACGCACAGGGATACTTATGTGGATTTGTTCATACAGTAGTTCACAAGGGCTTTCTTGCATGCATATACATGTACAGCCTCAATATACAAGTGTAGCCTTGTATATCAAAGTGTACAGCATAAATAATAAAAAAGGGGTGATAGGAGAAGTGAACACTCATACGCATTTAGAGTTAAACGGAAAGGTTTTCTCTGAATGCTCTGTGTTCCCTTCTCCGAGGCTATGGGTCCTTATGATTGCACAAGGGGTGGTACCCATATATATATATATATATATATATATATATATATATATATATATTAGTTTATATATATATATATATATATATATATAATGTTCAAACAAACCTAGTTATAACTTAAATATGTCGATTACTTTTCGGTACTGCCCCTCCATTGGTTGAAATAGAACTACGTTAGCAGTTCATGTTGTCAGTTTAATTAATATTATTAGGAATGAACTAATTGTTTATATTCGTCTGATATAAATTAGTTTATCAATGTTACTTGCACTCTAGATGGAATTTACGTGTTTTCATTAATTAGAAAATGGTGTATTCTTTTTCTTAGTCCTCTTTTGAAGTAGCTATATTATGATTGGTTTCCTAGTGAGCACGTGTCCCATCATGGTAGGTTCCTCCCTTGTCCTGCCTCCCCTGGTGTTGTGTCCCCTCATGGTAGGTTCCTGCCTTGTCCTGCCTCCCCTGGTGTTGTGTCCCCTCATGGTAGGTTCCTGCCTTGTCCTGCCTCACCTGGTGTTGTGTCCCATCATGGTAGGTTCCTGCCTTGTCCTGCCTCTCCTGGTGTTGTGTCCCATCATGGTAGGTTCCTGCCTTGTCCTGCCTCACCTGGTGTTGTGTCCCATCATGGTAGGTTCCTGCCTTGTCCTGCCTCACCTGGTGTTGTGTCCCATCATGGTAGGTTCCTGCCTTGTCCTGCCTCTCCTGGTGTTGTGTCCCATCATGGTAGGTTCCTGCCTCTCCTGGTGTTGTGTCCCATCATGGTAGGTTCCACCCTTGTCCTGCCTCTCCTGGTGTTGTGTCCCATCATGGTAGGTTCCTCCCTTGTCCTGCCTCTCCTGGTGTTGTGTCCCATCATGGTAGGTTCCTCCCTTGTCCTGCCTCTCCTGGTGTTGTGTCCCATCATGGTAGGCCCCTCCCTTGTCCTGCCTCTCCTGGTGTTATTCATCATTAATACACGTCGTACGTTGTTCCTTTACTCTCAGTCGTAGTCATACCCCCCCTCTCGTGGTCCCGAGCAGACATACCCATGCCGATACCCTTTGGTCCTAAGAGAGACATCAGTTGTTCCCTTTTGCATCCGTTTCTTGGGCAGACATACCCAAGTCCTTGTACCTAGACCAGCTATACCTATCTCCCCACCCCCCTCCCCCCTTCATCCTGAATGGAAATGCCCATGTCTACCCTTTTCCTTCATTATACTTTGCTTCTTCTCTTGTTCTTGAAAGGGAAATGCCGTAACCTTTAATTGAGTTCTTTCCGTTTGTAGAAGTCTTGGCTAAGTTTAGGTCGGTGTGGGATAACCTGGCAAGTGCCTTCTCTCTAGCCGTCACCACCTCCTCCTCCTCCTCCAACACCAACATCACCACCACCGCCGCCGACAGCGCCACCGACAGCGCCACCGACAGCGCCGCCGCCTCCTCCTCCACCACCGCCGTCACCACCACATCCTCCCGCAGTCAGTACACGCCCTCGCCCTCGGCGCCAGTGGGCGACCACCGCCCACACCAGGTCCTCCACGTGACTGCTTCCTCCCTCCGCCTGCGACCACAGTGTATTCCTCTCCCAGGTCAGGACTTAAGAGGAAGGCAAGAGAGAGAGTGAGAGTAAGAGGAAGAGTGAGAGAGAGAATATTTAATTTTCAGTAACAAATGAGGTGTGTGTCTTCGTGAGTATCTTGCAGTCTTGCCTCTCTTCTCTTTCTCTCTTGCCACGTCTTACGAAGCGAGAATGTTTAGAAATATTTGTTTCACTGTGATTGTTCTTGCACTCCAAGAATTCTATTACATTGCAGCATACATATAAATATATATATATATATATATATATATATATATATATATATATATATATATATATATATATATATATATATATATATATATATAGGGTATTAATTTCATCAACATAAGACAGAACACGAAGCAATGGGTATTGAATGGAAGTGATTGTAGAAAGAAATATCAAGAAATATGGACCAATAGGCTTTCTACAATCACTTCCATTCAATATATATATATATATATATATATATATATATATATATATATATATATATATATATATATATATATATTCATCATTGACTCATATATAAGTTGTCAGCTACAATAAACGTGGATTATTACCTAAGGCTATAAAATGCTCAAGTTCTATAACCAGTTTGAAAGAGAAACAAAGGAACAGTTAACATTATATGACCATAATTCTCACACATTTCTTCATTCACATTAAAGACATTTTGTGTTGACTGTTATTGTGACTATTAAATACTTGGTCCGTACAGCCGCTATAAGTTTCCTCGGAAGCAACAGACTGTAAAATAAGTTAGTAATATTATTATTCATTATTATATGATTACTTTAAAAAATAATCTCTCATTGAGTCAATGATACACATTACTTTACCTCTCATATAGTATGAAGGATTACCCCTAAACATTTATAACATGTTTCGTACATAATTTACGGAAATTATCGTAAGTTATGCGCGAAACGTCGCACGGAATTCCAGACGTTATACAATATACAGATTCTGCACCCACTATGACGTCTCCTCTGTAAATGATCCTTTGTAAATGTTATAATTATCATTATTATGATTTATTTTTGTTTTATTATTATTGTAAAGCAGTTTTCATTACAATAACAACAATTGTGAGCTCAACTGACCTTCCTGCGTCCAACACCCTGCAGGGCCGTTCATGCCGTGCCGCGACCTCTTCGACTGGTGGACGCTGAGGTGTGGGGTGTGGATCGTGTTCCTGCTGGCGCTGATGGGGAACGGGGTGGTGGTGGTGGTGCTCGTCGCCGCCTACAGCAAGATGGACGTGCCGCGGTTCTTGGTCACCAACCTCGCCGTCGCCGACTTCTTCATGGGGGTCTATCTCGGTAGGTTGCTGGGGGGAGGCAGCCTGTGTTTTTTTTTTCTCTCTCTCTCTCTCTCTCTCTCTCTCTCTCTCTCTCTCTCTCTCTCTCTCTCTCTCTCTCTCTCTCTCTCTCTCTCTCTCTCTCTCTCTCTCTCTCTCTCCAAGTGACTCGCCTCATCTATCGAGGCCGATGCGTAGAAAAAGATGAATATTTATGGTGCTATAATTTTTACTAATACGTTACACTTTTTAACGTATTGGTCGATTCCGTAAGACAAGTTCAAACACACATACCATTGACTTGCCACATCCACCATTGACTTGCCACATCCACCATTGACTTGCCACACCCACCATTGACTTGTCACACCCACCATTGACTTGCCACACCCACCATTGACTTGCCACACCCACCATTGACTTGCCACACCCACCATTGACTTGCCACACTCACCATTGACTTGCCACACTCACCATTGACTTGCCACACCCACCATTGACTTGCCACACCCACCATTGACTTGCCACACCCACCATTGACTTGCCACACTCACCATTGACTTGCCACACCCACCATTGACTTGCCACACCCACCATTGACTTGCCACACCCACCATTGACTTGCCACACTCACCATTGACTTGCCACACTCACCATTGACTTGCCACACCCACCATTGACTTGTCACACCCACCATTGACTTGCCACGCCCATCATTGACTTGTTACACCAACCATTGACTTGCCACGCCCACCATTGACTTGCCACACTCACCATTGACTTGCCACACCCACCATTGACTTGCCACACCCACCATTGACTTGCCACACCCACCATTGACTTGCCACACCCATCATTGACTTGCCACACCCACCATTGACTTGCCACACCCACCATTGACTTGCCACACCCACCATTGACTTGCCACACCCACCATTGACTTGCCACACTCACCATTGACTTGCCACACCCACCATTGACTTGCCACACCCACCATTGACTTGCCACGCCCACCATTGACTTGCCACACCCACCATTGATTTGTCACACCCACCATTGACTTGCCACACCCACCATTGACTTGCCACACCCACCATTGATTTGTCACACCCACCATTGACTTGCCACACCCACCATTGACTTGCCACACCCACCATTGACTTGCCACACCCACCATTGACTTGCCACACCCACCATTGACTTGCCACACCCACCATTGACTTGCCACGCCCACCATTGACTTGTTACACCCACCATTGACTTGCCACACCCACCATTGACTTGCCACACCCACCATTGACTTGCCACACCCACCATTGACTTGCCACGCCCACCATTGACTTGCCACATCCACCATTGACTTGCCACACCGACCATTGACTTGCCACACCCACCATTGACTTGCCACACCCACCATTGACTTGCCACATCCACCATTGACTTGCCACACCCACCATTGACTTGCCACACCGACCATTGACTTGCCACACCCACCATTGACTTGCCACACCGACCATTGACTTGCCACACCCACCATTGACTTGCCACACCGACCATTGACTTGCCACACCCACCATTGACTTGCCACGCCCACCATTGACTCGCCACATTCACCATTTATCTCGCGACACTCATCATCGACTCACCAGTAACTCACCACGCCATCCATTGCAGGGTTCCTGGCAGTGGCGGACGCTTCTACCTTGGGGGAGTTCCGAATGTACGCCATCCCTTGGCAGATGTCACCAGCATGCCAGGTGGCGGGCTTCCTCGGGGTATTGAGCTCGGAGCTGTCCGTGTACACCCTGGCTGTCATCACCATGGAGCGGAACTACGCCATCACACACGCTATGCACCTCCAGAAGCGGCTGTCCCTCCGGCAGGCCGCCTACATCATGGTTGTGGGTTGGATGTTTGCCATCACTATGGCTGTGCTACCATTAACGGGGGTTTCCGATTATCGTAAGTTCGCCGTCTGTCTGCCCTTTGAGACTGATGGCGCTGGTCTGGGCTACGTGGTTTTCCTCATGTTCATCAACGGCGTGGCGTTCCTTATCCTGATGGGGTGTTACTTCAAAATCTACTGTGCAATTCGCGGCTCACAGGCCTGGAACAGCAATGACTCGCGCATCGCCAAGCGTATGGCACTTTTAGTCTTCACAGACTTCATTTGTTGGGCACCCATTGCTTTTTTCTCTCTGACGGCGGCCTTCGACATGCATCTTATCTCCCTCGAGGAAGCCAAAGTGTTTACAGTGTTCATTTTGCCTCTGAACTCTTGTTGTAACCCATTTCTCTATGCCCTCCTAACTAAACAGTTTAAGAAAGATTGTGTGATGTTGTGCAAGACCATCGAGGAGTCACGAGTAACTCGGGGTATCGGTCGCTGTCGCCACTCGTCCAACTTCAGTAACCGCCAGACACCAGCCAACACAAATAGCGCTATCGACCACACCTCACAAGGAGACAAGCAGTCCTGCAGCTGTAAAGGTAAACAAGAGAAGAAGAAAAAGAAGAAGAAACTCCCTCGGTGGACTTTCACGTCACTGAAGTACTTCTTGTGTACCAGGGGAGCTGAGGAAATTACGTCTTCAAGCGACACGAGTTACCAGACGGACCCTGCCCAGCACCGTGGGCCTCGACACACGTCTCTCTCCAGCGATACATACAGTGGATCTTGGTCGGACACTTGGCGCAAAGGCCGTGGCTCCTCAACACTCAGGTTGATGGACCGTCGCCGCCATAACTCGTGGACAGCCTCCCACAAACCATCCCAAGAGAGTAGTTTGTCATCATCTCGACCAGACTCCACAGCTACCTCGGCGTCGACAAGCACCTCAGGGTCAACAGCAACTTCGGCGTCGACAGCTACTTGGCGTATCTCACGTTCATCAGTCTCATCAGATACATCTAACAGCAGTGGCAAAGTCAAGAGCAGCGAGCCCACTAATCCTTCTCGACTTGGATCACTACGGAGAGGGGATGGGCGTGGGTTTGGACTAACACGTCAACACAGCCAGAGCCAGTTCGCCAAAGAGACGCTATCAACCAGGCCGTCACCAAATGGCCGTCCAAAACCTCGTCTGCAGCGTCAAGGAGCAGTGGAGCGAGAAGCCTACACGCCAGGTAAGGAGAACAGTGGTCTGGAGAGTCCTCCATGTTCTCTTCATCTGCGGCCAGACCATTTGTCGTGTGTGTATGAACAGAGCCATGAGGATGACAATACGATGGCTGGAAACAGCCCCAGTGGTGGCCTGCCAACCCAGCCAAATCTCTTCCTCAGTCCATATAGTTTAGATACTCCATTAGATGACAATGTCTTTGTAGATCCGCCTGACGAACAAGCTCCGGAACCACTGAGCCGTTCTCCCTCCCACGTTCAGGAAGTTTCCATCACTATGCCTTCTGACAAAGATTTTGCCCCAGCAGCTACGGAGACAACAGCTCTCATGACAGACAGCACCTCTGATGCTAAAACTGACAATTTAAAGGAACCCCAGCCTGGCAGAGTGTTGGAAACGCATTTCCCGCTGGAAGTTCCATTACCAGAGATACGGCCATTGATCTAATTCCCTCCACAGAGGAAAACTCAAATCCCTAAGCCGTTCCATCCAGTAACATATTTGGGTCGAGGATTCTGCCAGGTACCTGGATCACTACTTCCTCTACCAACAGTCAATGTTCTAGCCATGATCTAGTAGCATGAACAGATGCTCCTACAACCATAACAATAGCAGCTTTGAATGCTGCTCTCACTCTTCCAGTCACGTTTGGTTTCCAGGAACACTTCACACAATATCTCCTTAACCATGGAGGCGAGTGTCCACAATGCTTCCTGCTGTTCAGTTACGACTGTTAGCCCTAGAACACTCTCCATGGTATCTTCCGTTCATGGTTCCTGGAGTCTGAAACGCTTCTCAATGGTGCCATGCCTTCCTGGAACATCTCATTAATCACCTCACTAAACTTAAATTTGTCCAGCCTGACCAATCTCTGTTTCTCAAGCATGGATGCCCCGAGTAACTTTAACCGAGCTGCCTATAAGCACCAATAAATGTTCCAGATCTCGAGACACCAGAAGGCAATCATTCTTACAGACCCAACGATCTGGCTTACTGGTGTGTGTGTGTGTCCCTGAGAATAGGCAAGGGTGCATGGAATCTGCCTCGTAGTGCTCTTGGAGAACCTCGGGACTGGGACTCACAGTGTCCCAAGATTTTAGCTCCATCTGGGGTAAGTACAACGATGTTCTCAACCAAGCAAGTGCAACGATGCCCTCAATCAAGCCAAAGAATTGTAGTGTAGGCAATGTATGCAGTAGATATTAGATATTTATATACCCTATGTCTTACTATTTTATGAGTATTTAATGAGTATTTCACAAAGAGAAAACTAATAAATTATTTACATTTATAAGACGTTTCTTTAGCCGCTTTTAACTGGTCGTGACGACATTCTCATTCTGGGGAAACATATATACAAGAATATCACAAAGCATTGCAATATTAACATTTAAAAATATCAGTTGCATATTGTCCTGGGGACCATTCAGGCTTGTTCGCATTAACATTTAAATATAAAGATTTCAGATAAATTCTCATGTTATCATTCCTTCTTTTCATTATGCCATTCGCCTCTCCTATTCTTTCCTCCTACTCATTACTCCATTATTTCACCTTCCATCTCGTCTCACATTCTTATCCTGCCGTTCAAATTACTGAGTCCTCTCTTTCCGTTGTCTAATTATTTTACCTAATATTTTCTTGAAATTTTAGATTTTGTTCCATTGCCTCCGTCTTCAGTTCATTTTGACTCTTGTAACACACATTCTCTGGTCAAAACATCTCCCACTTTCTCTAATTTTGTTCAGAACTGCATAATGACCCAATTAACAGATTGTCCATTGTCTAGTGTCCATTTTTCTGACCACTGTACAAACTGCAAATACTTGTCCACGGTCAATTTCCGATGTCTTGAATGTCCTCCGGCTTAGCTGCCGTAACAACTGGCCCAACCCGTTCTCGCACTTTCTTATAGTCAATGTTGACTTATTAAACAAGTGCATATGTGACATACTAATTTGTTGTGAATATTTTAGTTTATCTTGAAAAGCTTCATAGAAAACACCGACCTTAAGGTCGGTAAGGTTGGTGTTTTCTATGGAGCTTTTCAAGGTAAACTAAAATATTCACAATAAATTAGTTTGTCACATATGCACGTATTTAATAAGTCAATATTTACTATACGAAAGTGCGAGAACGGGTTGCACTGGCCAGAGCGACGCAGGACAGAGGTTACCTTGAGGTGCTTCCGGGGCTTAGTGTCCCCGCAGCCCGGTCGTCGACCAGGCCTCCTGGGGGTCATACATAAGACAATAGGTCTAAACTGTAGGCGGAAGTACATATATCATGGTTACAATCAATGTTTTAATGTATGGATATGTGAAAACAACTTTCTATTGTGCACTGCCACACAAGGGCAGGGATGGGTTCATAAGTGATGCAGGGTGACTGGTGGATGTTGAGTCATAGGCTCGGGGTAAGTCAAATACTAAGCTCTATCTTATTTTTTTTTTTTTTGTGATATATACAAGAGTTGTTACATTCTTGTACAGCCACTAGTACGCGTAGCGTTTCGGGCAAGTCCTTAATCCTATGGTCCCTGGAATACGATCCCCTGCCGCGAAGAATCGTTTTTTCATCCAAGTACACATTTTACTGTTGCGTTAAACAGAGGCTACAGTTAAGGAATTGCGCCCAGTAAATCCTCCCCGGCCAGGATACGAACCCATGACATAGCGCTCGCGGAACGCCAGGCGAGTGTCTTACCACTACACCACGGAGACTGCCAAATTAAGAACCAACCTTAAGAACCAACCAGCACACATTTTTGTTTCTACGTGATGATTAAGTGTTGGGAGCGTCCAGGATCAAGAGAAATATGAACCCATAATATTCAGATATCTGGGAAAGATACGCCCTCTATACAGTGCCTATATAGGTGGTGTCCGGGGAGTGACGGTGATTACGGTGTGAAGGTGGTTACGCTGATGACTGAAATTGAAATAAGTTTATTGAGGTAAAATACACACAAAGGGATGAGGTAGCTCAAGCTATTCTCACCCCGTTCAATACATCGTGTTAATACATACATAGACACACATCCCAAACAATAAACATATTACCAAACATTCTGAGAGATAAACATCTACATTTCCTACGGTGATGATGGTTGTGTGCAATGTACATGATTACAGTGATGACTGATCGTGATATCTACGTTTTCCACGCGAGTCACTCCGGGCAGCCAAGCTAGTTGTTTATACTGACGCTATTTGCTGCCCGTGTTCTCGAACCCTGTTTGTTTATATTGGGGCCTCAGTCAGCGCCCACTACCAACTCTCTTTGATTTGTTTCAAGATTATGCTAGGAGAGGATAAGTTAGATTAGAGTGGATTAGTTTGTTTTAGGATAAGATTAGGAGTTCTTACTCCACTTGTGAATAAAAAAAAGGTAGTCACATAGTGGTAAAAGCTAACCAGACCCTACGATCGGTGACTAGCACCAATTTATATTTTTAGTTGGCGCCATCAGCTGCCCAACTTGTCATACGGCAGGGAATGATACCATCGACGACAGATGTCAAGACATCACCAACTTACCGTCAATGCCCTTTTCCTTGATATCGGCGCCAGCTGCCAACAAGATCCGCACTATCTGTACTCACCTATATGTGCTTGCGGGGGTTGAGCTCTGGCTCTTTGGTCCCGCCTCTCAACTGTCAATCAACTGGTGTACAGATTCCTGAGCCTATACACCAGTTGATTAACAGTTGAGAAGCGGGACCAAAGAGCGGCTTGTCTTTCGTGGTGGCTAAAGTCAGCGGAGTCATACCTGAGGAGAAAGCAATTTGGCTAACAAGTTTCTGACTTCTTTTTACTCTAACGATCGACGAGATGTGAATATGTATAGATTTTGGGCACAGGTGTATACTTGTAGAATATACATAGTGACTTGTACGCCTCTATTTACCCAGCAGCGAATGGTTAAGCAATTTGGTGGGTCGTATTCCAGGGAAAATGAAGAATAAGGACCTGCCCAAAACGTTATATGCGTGTTAGTGGCTTTACAATAATGTAAGAACTCTTGAAAATATATAAAGATATATATAAAATGTAACACAAACAAGGAACAACGGTTTCAAGTTCAGCAAGCTACAATGTAGGACAGAAACAGCAATACTTTTTCACCACACAGGGTTATTAACCTATGGAACTGCCTACCCGACGAAGCTATGAATGCCAAAACACTGCTGAATTTTAAAATCCAGCTTTAAGAAACCATCAAGATAAATGGGGGGACCTTTGACAAGCCGCCGGCTTTCTGACCGCGTCGAGGCCCACTAGAGAAATATTGGCCCTCACGTAAATTAATGTATAATAATAATAATAATAATAGCAATAATAATAATAATAATAATAATAATAATAATAATGATAATAATAACAATAAAAAATGCATCGTTCGGGACCTCACATCCGAAGGAGGTTGAGGGAGCCCAGCCTTGTATTCCCCTAAAGAGGCGGAGAGAGAAGGACGACATGACTGAGGTCTTCAGATGAATGACAGGGACCGATTGATTGATGAAGATTAAGCCACCTAAAAGGTGGCACGGGCATGAATAGCCCGTAAGTGGTGGCCTTTTGAGCCATTACCAGTATCAAGAGCTGATACTGGAGATCTGTGGAGGTGCGACTGCACCCTGCGTGACGGGAGGTGTCTCCCCCCGTCGAAGGGGGCCAACAAGGGAGTTTTTTATTGTTACCGCCAGAGGCGGCTAGTTTACTGTCTTACTAATAATATTAGTCCCACACCTACGGGTTCCAGACAGAGATCGTCACAGCCCCCCTTTCACTCAAGGCGAGGAAAGGAAGAGTAATACCTGGTTGATACCTGGTTGATGGGGTTCTGGGAGTTCTTCTACTCCCCAAGCCCGGCCCGAGGCCAGGCTCGACTTGTGAGAGTTTGGTCCACCAGGCTGTTGCTTGGAGCGGCCCGCAGGCCCACATACCCACCACAGCCCGGTTGGTCCGGCACTCCTTGGAGGAATAAATCTAGTTTCCTCTTGAAAATGTCCACGGTTGTTCCGGCAATATTTCTTATGCTTGCTGGGAGGACGTTGAACAACCGAGGACCTCTGATGTTTATACAGTGTTCTCTGATTGTGCCTATGGCACCTCTGCTCTTCACTGGTTCTATTCTACATTTTCTTCCATGTCGTTCACTCCAGTACGTTGTTATTTTACTGTGTAGATTTGGTACTTGGCCCTCCAGTATCTTCCAGGTGTATATTATTTGATATCTCTCTCGTCTTCTTTCTAGTGAGTACATTTGGAGGGCTTTGAGGCGATCCCAATAATTTAGGTGCTTTATTGCGTCTATGCGTGCCGTATATGTTCTCTGTATTCCCTCTATTTCAGCAATCTCTCCTGCTCTGAAGGGGGAAGTGAGTACTGAGCAGTACTCAAGACGGGACAACACAAGTGACTTGAAGAGTACAACCATTGTGATGGGATCCCTGGATTTGAAAGTTCTCGTAATCCATCCTATCATTTTTCTGGCTGTCGCAATATTTGCTTGGTTATGCTCCTTAAACGTTAGGTCGTCAGACATTATTATTCCCAAATCCTTTACATGCTGTTTTCCTACTATGGGTACATTTGATTGTGTTTTGTACTCTGTATTATGTTTAAGGTCCTCATTTTTACCGTACCTGAGTACCTGGAATTTATCACTGTTAAACATCATGTTATTTTCTGATGCCCAGTCGAAAACTTTATTAATATCAGCTTGAAGTTTTTCAATGTCCTCAGCCGAGGTAATTTTCATACTGATTTTTGTGTCATCTGCAAAGGATGATACGAAGCTGTGGCTTGTATTTTTGTCTATATCTGATATGAGAATAAGGAAAAGCAGCGGTGCAAGGACTGTACCCTGAGGTACAGAGCTTTTCACTGCACTTGGACTAGATTTTATATGGTTGACAGTTACTCGCTGAGTCCTGTTTGACAGAAAACTGAGTATCCAGCGTCCTACTTTACCGGTTATTCCCATTGACTTCATTTTGTGTGCTATCACGCCATGGTCACATTTATCGAAAGCCTTTGCGAAGTCCGTGTATATCACATCAGCATTCCGTTTCTCTTCTAATGCCTCAATGACTTTGTCGTAGTGCTCAAGTAGCTGTGAGAGGCACGATCTTCCCGCTCGAAATCCATGTTGGCCTGGGTTGTGAAGGTCATTGGTCATTGGTAATTAATAATTATTAATTACAACAATTATTATTATAATTTGTATAATAATAATAATAATAATATAATTAACTAATAAATAGTGCTCTTCCCACTGCTGGGTCATGAAGGAAGCCGGCCTCGGGTTCAAGAGGGCTGTGACAATCTGTCTGGAGCTCGTAGGTGCGGGGCTCGGACGTCAACCTGCAGGGGCTCGGGCATCCACCTACAGGGGCTCGTCCGGCCCAGGCTCTGCTTCAGGAGGCTGGGGTCGTTTTTGCCCTTACTGGGGTGGTTCTTATCCGCCCCCGACCACGGCGGTCTCTGGGTTTGGAGTCCCTGTTCCTTCTTTCACCAACTTCGATGTAAATACCGGAGCTGGAGCCGCTAGGGCACATCGTTGTTGCCTTCAGTCTCGTTCTGACAGTTCCTGTGACGGCGCTGGAACCAATCGTATTGGATTTTGCCAATCCATTGGAGACTTTCGGCGCCGTGAAGAAGTGGGGGGGGGGGGAACCTGCTGCATAGGTAACAGTTTCTGCTCCGTATCAACTTGCCCTCTCTTTGCGCCCTGGAAAGGCCGTTCCAGACCGACGTACAACCAGTGCGCAACTCCATAGTCTCCTGAGACTGATGGATGCTTACTTCTACTACTGCCTAAGCCTGTAAGCAGAAGTGTAAAACTAATTAACGGGTAATTTGCAGTCCCCGTGGCGAAGTGGTAACACACTCGCCTGGGGTTTCGTTTTATAGTTTTTACATTTATAATTTCACCTAATCTGCATAATTATAATGATAGCCAGTAACAAACTTTTTGGATTGTAACATCTATGAATTTACAATATATTGATGAAAAAATGGACCTTGAAGTCAGGATCCACCAATCACTAAAAGTTGCACAACAAGTGCGAGTTGCAGCAAGGAAAACCAACCAAACTCTAGGAATAGTCAAACGAACCTTTGACCTCAAGGATAAAAAGATAGTTATTCAACTATAAATCTCTGGGTGCGGCCTGCCCCCCCCCCCCCATTTGGATGATTGTATATCAGGCATGGAGACCTCATCTTTAGAAAGATATATATCTACTTTGGAGAAAGTTCAACACAGGGCAACAAAAATCATCTGGAAAGGTTACGTTCCACAGGGCTAGCAACACTGCAAACCAGGCATGACAGGGGAGATCTCGACGAAGTTTTTAAAATACTGAACAATTTGGGTGATATTGATCCAGACAACTTCATTAAAATGTCAGATGCAACACAAACAAGGAGCAACGGTTTCAAGCTCAATAAGCCACAATGTATGGCAGAAACCAGCAGATGATTTATCACGCGAAGGGTAATATACCCATGGAACTGCCTACCCTTTATGCCCGAAACGCTTTGCGTAATAGTGGCTTTAGGCATTGTATGTACTAGCTCTACCTATAAGCTGAAGCCGTAATTGTACCCGCTGCCGTAAATGCCAAAACACTGTCGTAATTTAAGATTTAAATAGATAAAATCATCAGAACAAATTGGGAGGACTTTTGACAAATCGCCGGCTTCCTGTTTTGGTTAATTCCACTAGAGAGAGGCAGTGGCCCTCAGGTAAATTCAGGTAAATAAGGTTATGTACATTCTAGAACAAAACATTTCATCATTAATATCATTCTTGCATCATTGTTTTCCCGTTTTCTGTAGTGCGACGTATTATTTTCAACCTCTGACTTCGGCTTAGGAATTTTAACGTTTTGATTACTTCTGTGTGTTTATTGAAGTCATTTGGCTAAAAAATATTATTTAATTATGTTTGATTGTAATTTCATCTTTTTATAAGCAACATTAAAATAGAGAAAATAACACGAAAGTTTGCATGATGGTAAAATCAATCTTAACTCCATATTGCAATAGAACGTGAAATGATAGAATCGGTGTGAATAAGGCTATGTATCATTATTTGTGTGCCTATAATTGTGTGATGAAACATTGGAATCGTTATTAGGTAATAGTATAAATTATCAAAAGGAGAGAGACGCTAATGTATGAAATGAAACCAAAGTCAAGGGCGAAAGCAGGGATTTGAACGCGTGGTCTGTATATGAGCAGAGCCCAGCTGACGAGAGAACTCCGTCTCCTGCAGACTCGCGTATTTGCCTGCGTCACACGCTACTTCAGCTATTTATCGTCATATTCCGCATCAGTAAGTGTAGTGTATGATATTGTGCAAGCACACCAGCTGGCTCCAAGGCTGTCACTTGGTTGCAATAAAACTAGACGATAAAGTTTTTCCAGAAGTCTGTGGTCGTTATCGCTTCTTCAGAGCTCGTCAGCCCTTCACTATTTTATTGGGAGTTGATTGTTCAATAAATCCCTAAACTATATGTTTAACTGATCTCTAACCCTGTCCATGGAGGACAGAAGAAAATGCATATATGCTGGTTAGCATTGTAAATGTGTGGTCACGTCTGTGGTAGAAAATAATAATAAAAAAAAACTTTATTTAGTATCGTTTTGGAAGTTAATGAGTTGTGTCGGGGGACCTGAAGTCTAATATCCAAGCCACTCATCAGAAAATAAATGAACGACAATATTTCAGTCCATCGTAGACCATTATCAACGTGTAATTACACGACTTAAGCGTAATTACACAATTATGTTTGTATATCAACTATGTATGTACTTTTTCTAAATAAAAATTCATTTATTATTTATTTATTTATTACTTGATAATGATTGGACCAGGACGGACTGAAACGTCGCAGTGTCTTCATTTTTTTAATTTTTATTATATACAAGAGTTGTTACATTCTTGTACAGCCACTAGTAAGCTAGCGTTTCGGGCAAGTCCTTAATCCTAAGTTTCCTGGAATACGACCCCTGCAAAGAATCGTTTAACAACCAAGTACATACCCATTTTACTGTTGAGTTAAACAGAGGCTACAGTTAAGGATTTGTGCCCAGTGACCTCCCAGGCAGGATACGAACCCAGGAAAAGCGCTCTTGTTCTCTTTAAGAGAAGTTTACATTAGTGGTTAGTTTTCATTTTTATTCAGATTTGTGGTACAGTTACAACTACAATACTGTTAGAGGTCACGAGGCAAGCAGGAAACCTGCTTGTAGAGCGGACACGGTCCGCTGTGCACTACCTTCAACAGGTGAACTTGGCTAGGTATTTAGTTAATATACCACCCAAAATTTAACACTTGAGCATTTCCTTTAACATTAGTAATAGTTCTCTAAATTCTTGGATTTTGTTCATGTTTAATTAGGCTTGATGTATGGAAAGGGTTCTTAAACAACTACAACTGTCTATAGCAGTTCCAGAAAGAGTTCTTAAACTTGATTATATTAAGGACCTCAATCAAAGCAAAGGGGGGGGGGACCTTCAACAAGCTGCCAGCTTCCTGTCCTTGTGAAGGCCACTAGGGTTAGTGGCCCACAGGTAAATCGGGTAAACGTGATAAGCAACCACTGAGGATGCCAAATTAAAATAATTATTTGAACTGTATATGTTATATTTATTCATTCATAAAGCAGGTTTGTAAAACAATAAGACTATTTATCTTTTTAAATAATATAGTGTATTTGACTATTTAAACTTTAAAGCAATGTAAATTCTGGATAACTTGTGATGCAAGCAATACTGTAGCACCACCTAAAATTAATATGAAAAAAAATCACTTTCATATTAAAAATGTACAAGTAAACACAAATTAGTGAATCAGGACCATCCTATTTAGTGGGATGGATGGGCTCAGTGGCTCTTGCACAATTTTTCGGTAATTACCCAAGAGTAGTTACAGGATGAGAGCTACGCTTGTTGTGTCCTGTTTTCCCAGCAAGTGCAGTGCTTGATATTCAACAAGAGTGTCGGATGAATGTTGTTGTTGTCCACCTATGTTGATGTACTCTGCTTGGTTTTTAGGACTACTAAAAGTTGAAAATCCTGACTCACAAGTAAGGTGTGGTAATTTTTTGTATAGATCCAGAGCTCGGTGGAAGAGCAGGAAATTTATTTTCATTCCCCAGACCTTCGACATTTCACTGCTACTTCATCAAGGCTAACCATAGCCTTGATGAAGTAGCAGTGGATGATTTATGCCTCAGAAACATGTCCATCTTGAATTCTCAAATGACAAAATGTTTGCCAGCGAGAGAAAAAATTACCTGTTACTGTCGACACAGAATTGAGCGATATATAAAGAATTCATGAAATGCACAAAAATTTAGCTTTCTTGCATCTCGTTGCAAACCTCCAGTTTTGTGTATTGGCAAGGTTTTGCTGACCAAGATTACATTTGGTATGATGCATGATACAGGATAAAACAAACATCACATCATGTTTGTATAATGAGTCATGTTATCCTTATCTATACTGTATCCAAATACTGTACTTCTGTACCGCATAATGTCTATATTGAACATATCCCCAATCCTTTGGTTAGGTTTGGGTTCATTAATCAAACAGTTATTCAATAAAGCCTGATGATGTGCTGCATATTTACAATATAATGTACTATCCGAAGCCATACACAATCACTGCACCTTGTCTAATGTATTCAAGCACTAAGAATGATCAACAAATTTACACAATCACACTGGAAATTTTTTAGCATGGTGTGGTGGAAATCATACCAGAACTGAAGAAACTCGTATACAATAACATAATAGAAAGTACTGTACTTTTTCCAAAAAAGTAAAAAAAAAAAAAATAATAATTATAGAAAAGTCTACCATCTAAAGCCATAAAAGTGCCACAGTTAAAAAATATCTGGAAAACTTTATCAGGAAAAAATTACCACTAGATTACTCATCATGACAGCTGCATACTGTATAGTTTTCAACTAGGTAAATACAGTATATAGGTGGTTTCCCAGATTCATGCTGCCTAGCGTTAGATGTTGAGTATTAGCAACTTGAGAGAATCATAGGGCTAATGGCAATATGACTAATTTTCTTAAATCACTAGAATTCTGCATCAGTAGTACTCGATATCAACTACTAGGTACGTAATTGTTTAGTCCATTTAAAAATTCATACTATTTAAAATTTAAGTCTATATGGTATTTGTAAGCAAGAACCTAACATAATTTTCACTAATTTTAAAATTGCAGGTTGCCCAAGAAGATAATCTAAGCAGGTATGATTCTAATCCGGCTAAGTCGAGCAGCCCTGGGGAGGCACATCATGGGCAAGGCAGTGCGCTTCCCTGGAAGATTTGCTAATGCCACCACTTCGACAGCTCCAGCGTGCTCTCGCTGTTTCTACCGTGGACCATGGCGCGACCCCTTTACCCAGATGGAAACATTCATGAGGGATATGGAGAGGAAGTTCAAGAGAGACATTGATAACAGCCTGAATTCATTTTTACGAGATGTAAGGTTACGAATGGCTTTGTAAATATTAAACAATACAAGTTCTTCAGTCAAAACTAATCTACTGTACTATCAAATATTGACTTATTAAAGAGGGAGACAAAATAGTTCTTACTTTAATATTTATATTAAACAGTAGTGCATGTCTATTTTGTATGAAACCTTTCAAATATATAATAAACATTTAAAAATATATACTGTATATAAATAGATAAGTGCTGTATATTAGTTTTAAAAGTACTATAGTTTGTATAATATATTTAGTACTACTACAGGATATACTGACATTAGTGTATATAGCAGTTAATTTTTCCTGCTTTAGTAATTTATTGTTTACACAGCCTAATACAATTTGTATTCAATTTTTTTTTATCATACATTTTACTTGTACAGTATCTTAAATATAGGTGAGAAGCAATAATATTAAGCCAACCAACCACTAATGTGATAAAAATTCTTAGTTTCCTCGTGCGGGTGCACATGGAATAGACACTAAATCTCCGGTGATTGCAAAGCCAGGGTTTGGATATATGGAAAATATCTCGACAGAGGACACGTACAAACTAGCCTTCAACTTCGTTGATGCCAAGCCAGAGGATGTCAAGGTTACCCTTAAAGGTATGATTTCTGTCGTGTGTGTGTGTGTGTGTGTGTACTCGCCTATTTGTGCTTGTGGGGGTTGAGCTTTGGCTCTTTGGTCCCGCCTCTCAAATGTCAATCAATTGGTGTACAGATTCCTGAGCCTACTGGGCTCTATCATATCTACATTTAAAACTGTGTATGGAGTCAGCCTACACACAACCCCCACACGTGTGTGTGTGTAATTACCTAAGTGTAGTTACAGGATGAGAGCTACGCTCGTGGTGTCCCGTCTACCCAGCACTCTGTCATATAACGCTTTGAAACTACTGACGGTTTTGGCCACCACCACCTTCTCACTTAACTTGTTCCAGCCGTCTACCACTCTGTTTGCGAAAGTGAATTTTCTTGTATTTCTTCGGCATCTTTGTTTAGTTTAAATCTATAACTTTTGTTCTTGAAGTTCCAGGTCTCGGGAAATCTTCCCTATCAATTTTATTAATTCCTGTTACTCTTTTGTAAGTAGTGATCATATCACCTCTCATCTGTCTTCTAGTTTTGGCATATTTAATGCCTCTAACCTCTCCTTGTAGCTCATGCCCTTCAGTTCTGGGAGCCACTTGATAGCATGTCTTTGCACCTTTTCCAGTTTGTTGATGTGCTTCTTTGTTTGTGATGTACTTGATGTGAGCCTGTTATATGCATCAGTAGGAATAGCCTTTATTCATTAACATCGTTAGCTAACAATCATATAAGGAACAGGATGAGTCTGTAGCCAACTGTATGCCAGAGTCTTCATGTGATCAGTTGACCTGATCTCCATGTATCAACCTGTTGAGCGAATAAGTTCCAGATGCGAGTCATCCGAGAATGAATGACTGCTGATGTAGTAATGTTCTTGAGAAAGGCACTTTCAGCATGAGAGACTTGAAGGTTGAGAGCCTAGTGCTATGGGTGGCAACTACTGGTAGTCTACGGAATTGGGCCAGGTGCGGAACTTGAGGATTTTGGCTTTGTACATAAGACCACTAACGTCACAACGGCGTTGCAGGCTCTGATGTTCAGACCGTTCCCACCAGACTTGGTCAAGACTAGAGATGAGTCTTCTTGCCCATCTCTGCTTTTTCCAGCAGTCTGATGAATGATAGGGGACAGGTAATCCAGGAAAGGGGTGCATACTCTAGATGAGAGTAAACTTGTGCTTCATATAAGGTTTTGCAGCCTTTGCTGTCAAAAAGGTGTGACAGTAGTGTTGACAGCCCTTGCTTGTAGTGTTGACTCCTTCCTTTCCCAATAGCTTTCGCAATCCAGCTCCAGCCTACCTTTTTCTGATTTCTTGAAAAGTGTCTGAGAGTGAACACTGGGAGCTGTTGTGAGGGGATCCCTCCCAGAAATTATTGATGTAATGAAATGGCTTTTTCTGGTGGGCTCTCCAATAGCTCCCCATCCTGTTCCATTCTTGCCTGTAAGGTTTTTGTACAGGCAGCTCCATTGTGAGGGAGCAGGCTGGCCAAGACCTCAGATGACTTGAAGTGTCAGCTGTGCCATGATTACGATATTTATCCTGCAGCAATGATAGTTTGCCTTGTTTACTTATGGGGTCCTTCAAGCTGTCAGTTTTGGGTCAAAATCTGATTCTCCAAGCTTCCCTGTAGAGCAAGTCAAGTTCTGGTCCTGATTTCCAGTAGATGACAGGTGAATCTCGAAAGTATGCTTGGATAGTTGTTAGGGGGGATTTCTGAACACCCCTTGAGCCTTTGGGTGACCCAGTCTGTATTGTTCATGTAAGCATTACTTCGGTGATAAATGTTTGACTTCATTTTTTCAGTAAGGTTACGTTTGATGCATTTTACAGCTTTTGTCTATAGCTCCAACTAACTATCCACAGCAGAACCTTCTTTGGGAAGTTCTTTAAAATGCTGGTTATCTGTCACGTCTGTGATCCCCTTACGTTACCCTTGTACATTTTACTAATATGTGAATTGTCCTTGTCAATATCTACTTTCATTCCCTTATATGACAGCTCTCCTGTATTCCATGAAATTTAACAATCTTAACTAAGTCTGAAATGTAACAAACAAAGAGGTGTAACTTGATTTCTATTGTAACATAATTTGTGTTGTATTCCATCCAATGGTCAATTTATACATTACAGCCCTCTTTACTAAACAAATACATGTAAGTAAACGTCATTCACATCATGTTTTTCACCAGTTGTACAAATAATAATTGAAAATTCAGGTACTATTTACATACAGAATATTGCTTCTTCTAGGACGAACATTGACAGTCACTGCAAAAGCCGAAGCTTCAACTGAAACAACAAAGTCCTCCTACGGAACATCTATCGAGTACCAGCTGCCAGAAGAGGTAAATGTGGATGCCCTGGAGTCTTCTCTTTCCCATGATGGAATTCTAACAATTGAGGCTCCACAAACACCACCCAAGGAGGCAGAAACATCTCACACAATTAACATCAACAGGGAAGAGTAGACGTGCATACCAGGTACCTGCAGGTTTGAGTACCGCAACACAGCAAACCAATATGCACACTGCCAGAAATGTTACTTTGACACCTACAAGCCAGTGCAATTTGACTCGTATTCTATTGAACAGAAAAAAAGTTAAAAGGAAAGATCTTACAAATCTTACAAGGTGTGACAAAGATTATTTATCTAGTATAAATCAGTAAGAAATAATGTTCATTTAAAATATAACATTTGATTGATTAAACAGGTACAGCAAATTACTTTCATTAATATTCCTTATCCAGCAGTTGATTGACATGAGTAATTAATAGTTGTCTGTATATATACTGTATATCTCATGAGCTTGACTTAAACATGGGGATGATAGAAATTTATTTATAGTAAGCTTTGGCTGCACAAAGAATGTTTTGCCGGAGTTTTAAAGTATTTTCGTAGTATTTTGTTATACTAAACTAGAAGTTATAATTAATGCTTTTGACTAGGTTAGTAGTTTTGAACTTGTTAAAGTTTAATACTGTGGATATATATATGTATGGTCAATGTTACCATAGGACAATGTCATGTATACATTGTCATAGGCACTTAATTTTTTCAATAAAAGTTTAATGGCCATTATAATTGTTGTTAAATACATTTAACAAAAAAATAAATAAAAGTACCAAATTTTTTTTTTTTTTTTAATGGCTGGCTCCTTGAACCATAGGTTACTTACCCATGCTCACAAGTATGGTTTGACAACATACTATGCTCATATTAAATGTTGGAACCAATATCAGTGGAACATTCTGATAGAGTACTAACATGTCATTATAACATTCTGTAGTAGCTCTCCAGGCTAAGTGCTGGTCCCTCTAAGCCTAAGGAAGCTGCACCAAGACTTGAGATCCTGTGTAGCATACTGGAAGCCAGGCCCAGAATCTGGTGCTCATTATGAGGCAGTCTGAAGCAGAAGAAACCCCACCAGAAAGCATAAGCACTAAAAGATATCACCTAACTGTGATAAGTCTGATCACACCCAGGGACCAATGACTGACCAAAAGGTCAAAAAAGGATGCTGGAAAAAACAGGCAAGAGACTGACATAGGCACCCGAAGCCCAGGGCCAATAGCTCCAGAACCATCAGCCATTCAACCCAGAAATAGTAAGGTGCATAACCGCAGGTAGGTCAAAACCAGGAAGTACACAAATGACTGCACCCCTCCAGGTACAGGAGTGCCAGAATACTCAGGGACCCCCACCCCTGAAGACAATAAAAAATCCAAATCTCTTGCTGAGGCAACATATGATCCAGAGCTGCCATAGGAATCTTCTCCACAACCCTCTACCACAATATTGGGAGGAAGGAGATGGTATGCAAATCAGAGGCCATTATCTCCCTTAAAGGCTAGACACTTGTTGGGATGTGCCACACAAACCAAAGGCTGAGGTTACCATCAAAATCTGGAAGGGCACAGCCAGATCACCAAGGTCAACAGTTCATCCAGCACCTTTATCTGGCGACACGAGCTGATGCCCGAGGGGGAAAAACAGGGATGCGAATCTTCCCAAGATGACAAATCCTGACCAGAGCTAGAGGCACTGAAAAGTGGGGTTTGTTGGAAAATCGGTAACATGTGGACCCCTCAGCAGTCGGCAATACTGCACCTAGATAACAGTTCAAAGGCACACAAGGGAGTCTGCCAGATGACCAGCCCAAAGCCTGTGTCAATATAGGTGTGTTTTCCTGGAACATTGTGGTACTGGTGAACCTTGTTTAACATCTGAGATAGGTTCCTGAAAACTGCGACTTTAAGTGAAACTAAAAAACCTCCATAGGCCTAGTGTTACAAGTAAGGCTTACATTTCTAAGGTACCAGGAATGATTATGATTGGAAATGTTTTCATTTGTCCACCTTGTCACACTTGTTACTTTTAACTTTGTTACTTTGGTCTTTCATTAGGATTATTAACCATTAAAAATCATTTACCTGTCATGCCTTCTTATCCAAGAAATTGTTTAGTATCAAGCTTGGAACTCTCAGAGAGTTTGTGATTGCCTGACAAGATTTTGTTTTGGCAGCAGCTAAATTCACTTAATTATTTGACATAGGCATATGGTTGTATACAAGTACTGTACAACATTTACCTGAGGGGCCACAAACACACTAGTGACCTCAACGAGGACAGGAAGTCGGCGGCTTGTCAAATGGGCCCCCCATTTGCCCAGATGATCTTTTTCCAGTTGTACAGCATTTTAAAACTCGCCAGAGGTTTGGCATTTACGACTTTGGTGGGTAGGCAGTTCCATTGGTTTATAACCCCTATGAGTGAAAAAGCATCTCCTGTTCTCGGTTCGTTATTGTGGCTTGTTAAGCTTGAAACCATTGCTCTTCGTTCATGTTACATCTGATCTTTTTAAGAAATTGTGTGAATTGACATCCTCCAAAATTGTTCAGTACAGTACTGTACTTTAAAAGTCTCGATGAGATCTGCCCTGTCATGCCTGGTTTGCAGTGTTGTTAGCCCTCAACTGTTCTTGATACGAAAGATAACTTTGCTATGGAATGGAATGCTTTTTATTGCCCGGTGTTGCACTTTCTCCAGAGCAGCTGTCTTTCTGAATTTGAGGTCTCCATGCTTGGGTACAGTAATCCAAATGGGGGTTGCACCAAAGATTTACACAATCAAATAACATTCTACGCTTGATTATTCCTTGGATATGATTAGCTATTTTTTTTACTGCCACACCCACTTGTTGTGCAACTTTCAGTGAATAATGAATTCTGACTCCAAGGTCTTTTTTACTTCATCAATCTGTTGTAAAGTGCTATTAATTTGGTAGTTATGACATGAATTGTTGCACCACATCACAACTACCATATTTTTAACATTATCATTGTTATGCTTGTTTTGGTAAACGTACAAGTAGACTCAAAGATGTTGATTGTATAAATAGGTGGCTAACTGATTTAATACCATGCTCAAAACATGCTCTTAATTCAGGGACCAATGGAAAAACCAGTCGTATGATAAATGTGCAGTTATCAAAAGATAATTTAAAAGTTGTTAGATATCATTTAGTATGGAACATCCAAGCAAAAAGACTCAAGATAAATGATGTCAGAGGAGTCAAGTTTCACAGGATTTTATTGATGTGCTGTACATACAACTCAAAAGTAGTGGGAAAGCAAAATTTCCAATCATGAATATGATCAAATAAATTATTTCAATGTTTGGGATAATAAAAAAAGTTGGGTTACAAACTTAAAATAGTTTATTAAAAAGATATAGTTTCATCGGCACAAGTACAGTACAGTAGCATTAACAGTCAATAAACGAGTGATTATGTAATTTCTCTTAACAGTAGGTCCCGCATCACCCCAAACTACTCGTCTACTTCCCCTCCACACATGCATGGTGCTTAATGATCCAACCCATCCTCCAAAAATTACAGTATATGGTTGTACAATAAAGTTTGTGTTTTGTACTATTGGAATACTAAAGAACATTCTGGACAGAGTAACCATAAACCTAATTTGTTGTAGGCTTAATCTTGGGCCTAATTTAATATATATATACCATATTAGGCCTCAGAAAAAATAGGTTTGGTTTTGCCATCTTTGTCAGATCCTCTACAAAATTAATAGTACAAAATGTGGATTTTTTTGTATTAATAGTCCATGCATTGTACTCTCATCCATGGTAACTATAGGTACTATCATTTTTGGATGACAGGTTGTTGTAATTGATTACAGTACTTGGCCCCAGGCCTAAATCCCAAGAGAATTATAATTACATACTAATAAACTTGGCCACTTCTTCAAAAATTATATAAAAAAAAGATTTCTTAGGAAGTTTTCATTCAGCACATTAAAATATACTTTAAAAAATAACAGCCTACAAACAACACAGTAGAATTCCTATTAAGCTCTAGAGGGCCACTTATTCATGTACAGTCGGCTGCAGCCAAGGAGAAATGAGATTACAGTATTTAAAACATTTAGAAAGTGAGTAGTGTGTATTGTTCCATCATTCTCAATATCTCTATACTTGTTTTTGTATTCTCTCAATGTGACGACTTGAGAAGGGGGAAGAAAGTATTGGAGAAAGCACACGCAAATGAGATTTAATCCTGTTGCTCCATTAAGTCTTCATATGCCCCTAAAGCGTAACTAAAATAGGTGAATCAGGTACATTCTCTCTCAATCACCAAAACTATATATTTATTAATATTTAGCTTGGTGGCAAACTGCCCATACAAAGTTTATCCCTTTCACTACGGCATTTCCATTTCAGCCCAAGAGATTTCTTGGGTATATCTGGGAGTAAAAATATAAATAAAATATTACTATAAATGAAAAAATATATTGAAAGAAAATGGCCTGCACCATTAAAAAATATTCATGGGGAAAAATTAAAATACAGTACTGTATAATACTTTGAGTCTTCATTTTATAATAGAAAATATGGGCCAAATAACATAATTTCTCACGACATAATTCCGGCATTGAAACACTGAAAATTATGTCTTGGATGGAATGCCCCTTCCCAGAAGGCCCTCAGAAAGTTCCAAAAACTACAGCCTTGGTAACATCAGCCTTAAAAACAACACCAGACCTTTTACAAATCCTGCTCACCTACTGGCAGCCAGGCCCTGAATGTGGCTCCCTTAGAGGTGGAGGGGTCTAGGAATCTAAAATCACAACAGTACCAAGAAAAATAACCAACATGCACCCAACACTACCTTCTGAGACTGAGAAGGTAGGCAACAAATGGATTCGAATGCTGCAAAATTTAATTGTTTGGAGCAGTAATTTTAAAATAATACATTGGATATGTTTATAAAGACTCAAACCACCAAGCCCCACAGAGGGGGGACACCAACACTCGTGCACTACCTGGAGAAGAGACCGTCCACAACTTAAGAAGTCTGAACCACCCCCAGGGAAGTTAACCCTGGAAGAGCAAAGGCAAAGACATCACCATCCCCAGACTTATTTACCTAATAAAATAATGCACAACTGGCGTAAGTACAACTGCAGTACAGTGGAATACAGTAATATACACTATGTACATATGTAAACATAATCAGGTGTGAATCAGGAATAAAGTGTGTTCCATTCAGAAACTGTGGGGCAGCAGACAGATGAATGAGTAAATGGCCAATGATGACAACAAAGGAGACACCGAGTGAACCATATCTGGCCTCCGCCAGCCAAGGTAGAGACAGCTGAGAAAGCCAGTTGAAACAAGGTCATAAGTGTCGAAGACCTAACCAGACAAGGGCTGCAAAAGTCTACATCAGAAAGCCTAGCCCCGCAAGCCTTGCAGCTTGCGGAGCTAGGCTTTCCAGGCCATTTTGATCAGGCTGCTCAAGAAGGCAGCCTGGTCAAAATCAAATTTCAGAGCAAAAAATGACACACACCCATGGGTGAAAGGATACTAAAATTCCAGCAAGTTGCTTGATGGAGGCAACAGGAATGTCCAGTAGGGTCAAAAATACTGAAGCCCATCCTATGTAGCTCGAATCAGGTGGAGAAGCCACAATAACACAATAAAAAAAATACATACTACATAAGAAAACCACTCTAGCCACTGAAACTGTTATGCAGGCAGGTCAGGTGAAGCATCTGGACAAAACAAACATCAAACTCAAACCTGAAGCAGTCAATGAGGGAGGGCGTAGGCAGCCTCAGATCGTGAAATTCACATGCATAACTCAAGTGCACCCATGGCTAAAGTGCATGGCCCCTAACACCTGCAGGAGATAGGCAATATATACACCAAGAGGTGTACTACACTTTTTACACAGGTGAGTACACGAACAGATGACTGCCGACTCCTGTTAGCAGGCTGAGAGCTTTCCATTCCTATAGCCTTAACCACTATTTTCTCTGGAATACGACTTGCTAGTTGTTTAACAACTAGGTACCCAATCACTGCTGGGTGAACATAGACATACAGCTAAGGAGTGGCACCTAATCGATCCTTCCCGGCCAGGATATGAACCTAGGCCAAATCACTCACAAAGTGCAGGGCGAGTGTGTCACCACTGCTTCAACTAGCCAAGTGGAATTTTAGGGCATACTCAATGTGGGTTGTGTACACTTATGAAATGTAAACAAAAGCAAACAAAGTAATTTCCTCAGGAAAGTGTAATGTTCCAAGGAAAGCAAATACAGTACCACTAACCTGAAAATTAGAAGCCAATGATGGGGTCCCATCAGAGGTTACAGGTGTTAGACACTACACCCGGTGGAAGTGAGAGGGCAGGCTGACCAAGACCTGAAGTAACCTGGGCTACCATCTGATGCTAGTCAGGTGTATTCCTTCAACCAGTCTTTTGTATTGTTGCACCTATGCTTTCTGGTGGGGTTTCCCCAGTTTTGTGGTTGATCTCTGATCCTTGCTCCCTTCATCAGAATGTGAGCAGATTCTGGTGCTATGTCCCGGTAGGCGACGGATGGATATCAGAGGGCTGGTGTGATGGGCTAAGACTTGGTGGTACCAGAGCTAAGTACGGGGAATTAAAGAGGGGCCTTCCCAGAAACAAATCTGAATTCTTTAAATTTTTTCCTACGCTGATTTTCTCACTGATTGGTGTTTTTTGCTATTTTACTGCTGCTTTATATTAAATATAAAGCTATTTCATATTTATTATTAATCAGTACAACACTGATAATCATGACCGAGTCTTAAACAGTAATTAATTACTCCATGTGAAATTTTATATCTACTGTACCAAAGGGTGACAATTTTGTGTGTCACTGCAAAATGGCTACAGCTACCAATCTCATTCCTGTTCTAATAGCTAGATGTCTGGACACACACATTTCAGGATATTGAAACAAATTTGATATGTACACATAGAAATCACAATAGCGGGATACATCAAATGAACAAATCCACAAGGGCTACGTCAAATCCACAAATTAGGTTCGATCCCTCATCACGGCCCTTGTGGATTTGTAAATTTGATATGTACAGTATTTGACAACACTCACCTATCGTAATAAGTATTTTTTGTTTTTGTGAAGCTGCTGTTTAATGCTTATTGCAGCAAAAGGATTAAAGGTAAACTGAATTATTCACCATTTATGACAAGACATTATCATTTCTCTATTTTCAAATAATATAGGGGTGAAGAGGGATCAGCCTGAAAACAATAGAGACCAATATAGGAAAAAGACAGTTAAGAATATTACAATGCCCACCCACCTATTCATTATATCTTTCACATTGTATACCGTAGCATCAGTCAGCATCGTCACACACTCAAGGAAAGCATCAACAGCAGCACCCAACCACTTAAAACTAGATGTAAAGTACTTTCAATGAATGGTTGTATGTAGATGCCAAATTTCAAACATTCATTCCACTTTTCAAACATTCACTCCACAATACTGTATTTTTTGTGTGTTGTTCATGTTTAATCTGTACTTCCTCATACACATAAATAAAAATTATCCATGACACAAATGAAACTTAAACACTGTCCTGTAAGCATCGAAAACAAAAGACCAACTCAAATAATCATTCATTACCAAACAAACCAAAATATCGGTTTGCAATGGTTAAGTTGTACACAGAAAATCTAATGCTTCAAATTCATATGTGCAAGCCAAGGAAAAGTGGTTACAGGAGCTTGTTCCATGACAAAACTCATCGCAAGAATGTTAAAAAATATACCAAATACAAAAAGAAATTACAAACAGCCACGTGCTTTGCGAATGCTTCTATCCAAAAATACCAGTTTCCTGATTAGGTTGGTTTGGATACTCAAGTTCAGGAAGTGCAAGGTTCACACAAAATGATTTGAATATCTCATCAGGTAAGTGTCCACTAGCCCTCGCGTCCTGGGGTGGTTATGGGTGGTTGGGTGGAAGATGGGCCTAGTTTGCCCACCGACTGTGTTGGATGCTACTTTAGTGGCTAGTACCCTGTGACGGCACAGATTCACGGCCTAGTGTTCCCACTGTTCTGATTTGTCACTAATCTGCTGTGTTCTTTCCGTGAATTTGTTGTATATATCGTCACAATCTAGGAACATCCGTGCACCACGTCAGCTCCATATGCACCCATTGTCCCAGTGAAAGCTTCAACAATCTGGATACATAAAAGAAACAGGTCAGTGATGACATTTGAGAAGAACGTTGAAAGCGGAGTCCCGAGAAGTGTCGTGTACACTGGATATGGCATTAACAAGAGTACTGTTTATGATCTTACGGTTAAATCTATAATTTTTTTTTTTACTATTTCTCTAGAAGTGAAAGTGATAAGGAAATACGAAATAGAAACATAGTAAGTAAAGCAAAAGTCGAGTGTGTTGATAATGCAGTGTGGCAGTGATACAAACAGAAGCATGAAGAAGAGGAAGATGATGAGGGCAGATTTTGAAGGATTTGCGGCCAAGAAAGTTAGCGAGAAGAAAAAATTAAGAGGAAGAAACAATTAAGAAAAATTAAGAAGAAAAAATTAAAACCTAGCCAAGGGGATTAATTCCCCACATCTGAGAGCAGAACTGGTGACTGAAACAATAGAAAATGACATAGATAAGTGGATAGATTATGAAGCAGCAGCCCCAACCTTTCAAAACATGACTAATGATGAAATTAGAAATATATTTACAGAAAACGAGCCAGAAGAGTGCAACAAAAATGATGGTGAGGAAGGGGAAGAAGATGAAGAAGCATTAAAGGTAAAATGTAATATGGAAATAGTTCAACATTTTGAAGGCATTATGGCATTTATGAAAACGAGTAACAGTGAGTTTAAAATTAAGGACATGATGAGCCTGTATAATTTGTATATGAGGTTGTTGAAAACAAGAGCAAAGGGAATGAAATAAATATAAATTAGAGTCTTTTGCAAAGGCTTCTAAGAAAGCTCACATTGCCCCACCTGCACCTAACTCATCACATGTTGACCCAAATGTGCTAACATTTGAGGTTACCTTGTAACTATTAGTCTAGTATAACTAGCCGTGGAGAGGGGGGGGGGGGGACCTGCTGCCTGGGTAACAGCTTCTCTCCCGAACCAACCTACCCTGACTTTGCACCCTGGTGAGGCCACTCCAGACCAGGCCAACACCAGAGCGCAACTCCATAGTTTCCCGAGACTGATGGATGCCTACTACTACTACTACTACTATTAGTCTCCACTTCAGTCAACTCAACACCAACATCCATCACCACCTCTTCCATGTAAATAACACTGCTCCATCAACACTGATAATAAAGATAGCAAGTGGATCAGGACCTCTCGTATTGGAGAGTATATGCTATGAACTTGTCAATTTTCCCTTAGATTTAAACACTGCTTATTCACTGACGGGTCTCACCCCCGAGGGGTTCGCATAGCACTTGGCTGTCGGTACATCCATATGATTGATTTTTTGTTGGCATTTTTTTTTTTTTTTAGCTTTCAGCACAGTACAGGCTTATAATACCGTACAAATAAAATTAACTGAAGGTCCTGCATACTGGAATTTGTGAAAAAAAAAAATACTATTGACTATAACTTTGTCAAATAAAATTTAAATTTAGTTAATGTTACAATAGCTGTACAGCCTCATAAAATGATTTCAAGGGTAATTTTCAATGCAACAAAAATCAAATTAATAGTTAATGTAATAGTTCTTTTTTAAGCATTGCAGTTTTTGTACAAAGTCAGTACATTTTCTAAATTAACTTTTTATTCAGCGAGTAGAAAAGGTGAATAATAATAATATGCTAAGAACACAAACACACACACACATGAACAAGAGAACACAGATTCAAGCTAAAAAAAAAAAAGTGCCATAAAAAAATATTAGAAAGTTTTCTTTTGCAAACAGTGGTAGACGGTGGGAACAAACTAATTGAGATGGTGGTGGAGGCCAAAACCGTCAAGTAGTTTCAAAGCATTATACAGTATGACAAAGAGTACTGGGAAGACGGGACACCATAAGCGTAGCTCTCATCCTGCAACTGCACTTAGGTAATTACACAAACACACACACACAGAGGCATGCTTACATGGGAGCACACACACGTATACACCGTATATTAGAAATCTGCATGGTCACACCTCGGTCAAATGTAAATGAACAGACAATTACATAGTACTTGCTTACAGCGAATAAGTATGATTTTGGACACAAAATGTCCACAAAACAATATAAGATATTGTATTAACTTAATATATATACAAGTTAAATTTAGCATCTTTATCCTATCCTAAAGTATTAAAATAATAAACGTAGCATCTGGACATTATTGTAAAGTATACAGAAAAGATTAAAGTAATATTTGGGCACTGTCTTAAATGTATACAAAAAATATCAGTAATGTTATACTGTATTAAATAACATTATTAATGTTAAATATAGGAGTTTTAAGAGTCAAATACAGCATTATTAAATGCAATATCCAAGTGTTGAATTTTTGCTTTAATTGAACATTTAATATCTGGACATTGTCCTAATGTGAACAGAATAAATACAAAAAAATTGAAGAGTTAAAACAACAGTTTTAGATACAATAAATGATGAAATCTGAACACTTTCCTAAATGTTAATCTACAAGCAATCATTACAACTAACTTACTCATATGCAAGGCAATTGATTATTAACATTTACCCTCTAGAGCAGCATTTCTCAATCTTGGGTCTGCAAGAGATAGTGATAAATAAGTTAATTCTAATCATGTATTTTTGAGCCATTTTTGAGTTAAATTTTCTCATTTAACCAGCATCAAGAGTAAAGACAGAAAGTGTGCCCTTTTCGTTGCCAATGAAATCTGTGTGTGAGAGTATCTAGTGTACGACCCTAAATTATTTCAAGGGTACACCCTAGGGAAGTGATATCGTCCCCGTTGAGAAAGGGTGCCCTAGAGGATTCAACCGCACCATAGGAGATATATAATTAACCTGTTATATGCAGAATTTATCAGCACTAAATACAATGTATCTCTCTTTTTCCCCTCAACTACCAACACCAGTCTCATTAAACTACCATCCTGCACGTTTCATTCCTTAGAAAGGAAGCTGCTGGCTTCCTGTCCCCATTGAGGCAACTAGAGATGGTGGCCCTTGAGTAAAATACAAATGAAACTATGGCTGCTCTCAACTATTACCATTCTTAATAACTCTCTTGCTCCTCCTGTGCTCTGTACTCTAACCACTTTTCTCAATTATGAACATCTTCACTTACTATTGGTGTGATCAGATACAGTACACAAATTAACAGGCACAGACATACCATTATAATCAGTCATACAGACAGAGTGTTAAACAAAACAGGCACTGACATGCACACACACACACACGTACATACATACATATGTTTTAGCACAAATGCACTTCACCAATACACTCGCTCTCCAACTCGCACTCATGCTTACCCACCACCTGTCACTCTCACTCTTATTACTCTGTCTCTAGTACTGCATTACTGGAAATGGCTACTTGAAGTAAATGAATGGTAAATGTAAAGCAATTATCACAGCTCTTATTTCTCTCACATTCAGAGATAAAAAAATTTGTCCAAAAGTAGTCCCATTTCAGGTTTCTATTTCAAACACTTGACATGGAGGTAGGCTTGGAGGTGAACCTAGAATGCTGCACTGTTTTAAATTGATTTTTATGTACATTATCTTCCAAGCATGATCATTTGGACTGCACACAAGGCCAGTTTCTTGCTCAAAGATACCTACAAACGAATCTTTATGATGTAAGGTCCCACAACAACAAATCTTTACCATTCCATAATCAGACTTGTAAGCCTGTGTTCCATTTTCTAAATTTGGACTGAATAGAATCTTAAACTCAACAAAAGTGTCTCTCAATAGTCCAAAAGTGTTGCCTCCACCTTGAGCATGTCTCTCACCACTCGACTGGCCAATGAAGTAAATATCTGTGTAGCTGTTGTTGTAAAAAATATCTTCTCGAAAGGTATCACCAGGTAGGTGGATGCACTCTGGCTGCAAACGATTCACCATTCTAAAATACCACTCACAGAAGTCTCGTGTAAACTCGTCACTTCTCATAACATTTACTACTGGTTGAGCAAAAGGTGCAACAACACATACAGATTGGTTCCCTTCATTGGTACAACATTTATCTGCTCGAATGCCTGTTGTACATTCTCTCTCCACAGACTGACCAGTACCTACACTGGTGCTTATAGGATTGTGTGAAGCATTAATTCTAACAGAGGAGGCGATAATGTCTACGTCCGTTTTGCCACCACTTGTGCTCCGGAGTTTAATTCTAACCCTTGAGACTTCATCTTTTCTACCTTTGGGACCTTCAGTTTCAGGGTCTGAATATGCTCTTCGTTTTGTACCCGGATGCCCTGTAACTTCCTGTGTGCCACATTGCTTTGCCTATGAAAAATAAGCATAAAATGAGTGTGAAGTAAAATAAATTTCATAGATGTGTGTAAGATAGACAAACTTGAACAGAGCATGCATTGGGGCTGCCTGGCAAGGCCAAGGTTAGGGTGAAGTGTGTAATCTCTGAACACAGGAAAGTTAATGTTCTCAGTTAAATAAAAAAAAGTTATCCAGTACAGTATTCAGTTTATTGCAAAAGTTATGCTTTGATTTGATTTGAAAGAAATGTTGTTCTATAAAATAACTTGAATGTACACTGTACATGTAATATCCAAATAGATGGTAAAACAAAAACAAAATTTGAGCGCAAAATATGCTTTACCTTATGATTCTGAAAAGAAACATGCACTTGGATGATACAGATATTGTTCACAAATATATTCCCCAAATTTCCACATTAAGATATCTACCTCATTAACATACTGTACATGCTTACGAGATATATGCAGATGCTACAGTGATTTAGTAGTACTTTTTTACCAAACAATGTATGAAATTTATATTTTGTAAATGGCTTGTGCCCGGCGACCACCAACCTTACCCTACTAGGAACCATTTGTTTGAATGCTGGCTTAAAAGAAGAATTTCAGAATATGTCCTACCTGATTGTGCTTTGATCTTGATTAAGCACAAAGAATCACTATACTGTACCTTTAGAAAATCCAGACCGATGCAGCTCAGAAAAAGGAATTTGTGGGGTTGTGAACATAAGACGTCAAGGACGAAAGTGTCTGGTGCAATGAAAGCCCTGGTTAGGAAGAATACGATAAGAGGAAGGAAGGGAATTACAGTATCGGGAAAAAGTGACAAGTCATTACCACTACAGTATATAGCACTTGGAAGGGGTCAGGATAAGGATTTGGGATGGGACATGGGGGAAAGGAATGATGCCCAACTACTTGGACAGTCGAGGATTAAACACAGACCTGCATGAAGCGAGACCGTCGCTCTACCATCCAGCCCAAGTGGTTGGATTACAGATAATGGATATTTAAACATTTGGAAATGACATGTAAGGGAAGTGTTGACCAAACCACACACTAGAACGTGAAGAGACGACAACATTTCGGTTCGTCCTGGATCATTATCAAGTCGATTGTGATGAGAGGAAGGAGGTAGAGGCAATAAATAGGCAAGAGAGAGAGGTGAAGAGAAAGAAATCTTAAAAGGCAGAAAAAGCAAGGCAAAAGAAACAGAAGGTAAGGTGTAAAAAAGTGGGTAATAATAGCAATAAGAAAGGGATCGTAAGAGAGAAGACGGTTTAATTTCTACGATGCTCTACCTTCTTTTAAGCAGCCTTTTCATGCCTTTGAGCCTTCCCTTCTTGCCGCCAAACGTCAAAAGAACCAGCTTAGGTTTCTTAAAGACAGTCTTGCGGAGCAAGTTCTCCCTCTTTCGTTATCTCATTTTCTCCAGTTCAACACTTTGGGTTCTCCTTTTCCTGAATATGCCCATCTCTTTCTCTCTTACGATCCCTTTCTTAAATTATTATTATTATTACCCACTTTTTTTACACCTTACCTTCTGTTCCTTTTGCCTTGCTTTTTCTGCCCCTAAGATTTCCTTCTCCTCACCTCTCTCTCTCTTGCCTATTTATTGCCTTTACCTCACAATCACACTCACAATCATCACAATCGACTTGATAATAGTCCAGGACGAACTGAAACGTCGTCGTCTCTTCACTTTCTAGTGTGTGGTTTGGTCAACATCTTTCAGCCACGTTACTGTGACTCCTCATCTGCACGTGTAATGGAAGTCAGAAACTATGAAGATTAGGGAAAGTTTGAGATAATTATTCAATTAGAATGAATAGATAATAACAAATGTGGTGAAGAGCATCAATTCAACTGAATCTGAGGGTAGGTAGGAAAGAGATAGGCCAAGGAAAAGTTAATCTAGTGTGAATAAGTGTGAGAGAGAAGGTGATAAAGTGTGAATAGTGCACAAGAAGTGGCATGGGATAAGTTAAATGTTAAATACAGTGGTACCTTGGATTACGAGTGTTCCTGGTTACGAATTTTTCGGGTTACGAGCAGGATTCGCTCGGAAAATTTGTATCGGGATACGAGCATTGCATCGGGACATGAGCGTGTTGATACGCGTACAGGCCGACCTAGCGCGTGGTGGCAAGGCGATCGCCCCTCAGTTTACCAGTGCCTCACGCTCAGTGACTATCCCGCCTCAATTCTTCACCAGGATTTACAGTGTTTTGTTGAATATTTGGCCATTTGAGCATAAAAGTTGTTATTATATATCTCGCAATGGGTTCCAAGAAAGCCAGTGGTAAGGTTCAACCTAAGAAAATAGTTGTGAGAAGAGGCAGTAGAGGATGTCCATTCCTCATTAAGAAAATGTGTGAAGTATGGGAAGAACTGCAAAGTTTTGTTGAAAAAACTCGCCCAGATAAAGCTGTAGCAGACCATTGCATTGACCTTTTAAATGACAATGTGATGTCACACTTACTACAGACAAGTATTAAAATGTAGGGAAAAACCAGTGTCTTTAGACAGATTCTTAGTAAGACAAGCAAGCAGTGAGCCACAAGCAGGTCCTAGTGGTATGCAGGCAATCATGCCAGAGAGTGCACACAGGAGAAGTCCTCACTGCCTGATATTATAATAGAAGGGGACTCCCCTTCCAAACACTAACACTTCTCTACCCCACTCCTCAACATTTTCCATAAGCCAACAGCAGTCATCAGCAAGGGTAAGCAATAACTTGAACATACAGGTAGTTTTGTAGTGTAGATTTCGATGAATTAAGTATAAAATTTAGTTTGAAGGGAGGTTTTTGGGTAGTCAGGAGCGGATTAATTCATTTCACATTATTTCTTATGGGGAAATTAGCTTCAGTTTACAAGTTTTTGGGTTACGAACCGTCTCCAGGAACGGATTTAAACTCTTAAACCGAGGTACCCCTGTACTTTACATTTAACAACACGAGAAGCTGTTGTAGATGCTGTGGTGCAGTGTGACAGTACTGACTCTATAAATGCTACAGTATGTAGTGTGGAAGATATGGTGATTAGAAGGGTTTCATTCTGATTATCTTTAACCTTCTTTTCCAATATTTCTTTCACACTGACATCTCCCTACTCCAAGAAAATGGGCAACAGATTCTCATGTGTATTGGTTAACACACTTATTTTGCAAGTGAGAAAGGTATTAGGCTCAAATTCTGGGCAAGGTTAGGTTAATTGGTGCCATTTTGTCACTCAGTTTGCCCCTGTGTACTTAGCAGTAAATAGGGATCTGAATGTAAAACTATTGGTGGATCATGTTCTGGGTAAAACAAGTAGAATAAAGATAAATTTTCTACTCCTGTACCCTCCAATATGTATAAAAAAAAAAATTACAAGTGGTCACTAAACTTACCAAAATTAAAAGTAAAGCTCACATACTGTACTGTCAATTACAATAGCTAATGCACTCTCTCATTTGTACTTAAAACCTTCAACAGCTCACCCAGAAGTTCTGTACAGCGATGATCATTTGAGTTTTATTAGCAAAACCCATTGATGATTCTCGATTCTTGTGAAGATAGTTAAAGAGGGCTTGTGCAGTAAGGCGGCGGTAAGAAAACAGCCGTCCCAAGTCTGCCGTGTAAAGTAATATCGTTTCGATGGCCTCTGTAAAAGAAGATGGACTTGTTAGTGTAATTACTGTATAGTGAAGATATACACTGTTGGTGGGGGTATGTGTTAAGATGTAGCCTATGAAAACTAAGTTTCTGGGGTAGATGCTGGAGCCTGGGAGGATCAGTCCCTGACCTTCACCCAGATAATGCCAGGAAGGAAGACACCCAACCCATAAATCTGAAAATACAAGAATTTACAACATTTCGGTCCATCCTGGACCATAATCAGATCATGTGATGGAAAATATAACAAGAAAATAGAGAGTTAGTATAAATGGGGTTAATTCAGAGTGGGAAAATGTTGTAAGCGGAGTGCCTCTAGGCTCTGTCCTGGGACCTCTGTTGTTTACAATATATATAAATGATTTAGAGTCAGGTTTGAGTAGCAACACTGCATTTGCAAATTTGCCGATGATACAAAAATCGGGAGGGAAATAAACACTGAAGAAGACTCATTGTCACTTCAAGTTGATCTAAATAGGGTTTTGAAATGGTCAAAAGATTGGCAGATGCAGTTTAATGCTGATAAATGTAAAGTTTTGAGGCTAGGTAATGATGATAGAGTTACAAGATACGAGCTAGATGGTGTTGAGATTGCAAAGTCGGATTGCAAAAGGGATCTGGGAGTAATGATTGTAAGAATTTAAAACCAACGGATCAATGCATGAATGTTCGTAATAAGGCAAATAGGACACTGGGATTTATTAATCAAAGCGTTAGTAACAAGACACATGGTGTTGTTCTTCAGCTACATCTTGCTCTGGTTAGGCCCCATTTAGATTATGGAGTTCAGTTTTGGTCGCCGTACTATAGAACGGATATACTGTAAATTCACTTGAACGTGTCTAACGTAGGATGACAAAGTTAATTCCCCAAATTAGAAACCTGTCATATGAAGAGAGATTAACAAAGCTTAAACTGCATTCACTGGAAAGGCGAAGAGTTAGGGATGACATGATAGAGGTTTACAAGTGGATGAATGGACATAACAAAGGGGATCCCAAACCTAAAGAAACGCCTCCAACCACTGGTTCCAACGAGTTCGCAACAACAACAACCCCAACCCTCGATAAATGCACCCCATCCCGAGCATACCTTTCATTTCTTCCATAGAAGTGTTCCCAGTTATCTATGAAAGATATTGCATTTGATTTGTAATATCTTTCCAGTCGGCAATTGACACCAAGTGCCCTCGACAACCATTCATTTCCAACTCCCTTTCTTGGAAGAATACCACATATGATCGGGATTCCTCCCTTGCTCCTAACTAATTCTATGGCTGTTTTAAATCTCTATCAGTTCCTCACTCCTAACTTGTCCAACATCATTTCCACCTGCACTAATACAAATAATGGGTTTGTTCCCATTCCCAGCACACAACATTACCTAAAAAAAAAAAAAAGTGTGGAAGGTATTTTGTCTCTAATATTGGACAAGATGTAGTATATTAATAAGTCCCTGAGATGAACTTAATCCTCGAGAAAACCAGCATTGAATGTAATGAATTGCCATTTTTCGGGCGAGACCCGAAGGCTCCCCGGAGCTATACTGGGCTGATGCGTATATATTAGGCCGTAGCAACAGTCAGTCAATGGAGTTCTAGCCTACCAGGGACCACGAGCCAGAACCTGGCCCCCTCAGAGAGGCACAAGGAGCAATGGCCTATAGACAACCCCATGTAGTTAGAGGCAGTCTATGTCTGCCATCTACCAGGTCAGGCACCCAGAAAGGTAGGAATCCCAAAACAGACTACAGCTGGTTAAAAATTGCAAATGGAAAGCCAAACAAGCAAGCAGAACTTCCCAATCAAAAAACAAACAAGCATGACATCACCACAGCAGCCGTGCCACTGTCTGAGCAGCTCCCCCCCCCTCCCCTGCTGGAGGAGAAAGGGGGGAAAGGAACTGTGCTGACCAGAGAGAGGGAGGGATGCCAGGGAGCCTCCAGGTTTCACCCAGAAAATGTGTCATTTTATTACATTCAGCACTGGTGCTTTCTCTTGTAAATTCATTGTCAGGAGCCGAAAGGTATGTCTCAAACAGACTGGTTGAGGGTTTTTGAATTATGTTGGTATTCATATTGTTATAATAAAGACTATACATTGCATTAGTTTATAACTATTAGTATATTTGTTATTTTAAATGCTGATCACATCTGGTGTCAGCGGTTATCATCTGATAATGGCACTTGTGACAAAAATTTTTGATTTTCTGAAATCAAATTAATGCATATGCTAATACTATTGTGATTTGCATATTAGCATACTAAATACAATTAAGTTAGGAGCAAGTTGTGGTATATCAGTAATGTTACCAAACATTACAGATATGCCACACCACTACCAATGATGAAAAACCAATCAAAGCAGAACTAAAGTGACTAAAAATAAATAACATCTTCACACTATGTACCTTGGGAACTCTGAGGCAAAATGCGGTTGCCTGTGGATGTCCGAGCCAGAGACAGGAGATCATCATGGTCCAACGTGTTCAGCAGGTCACGCACATTGGCTTCATGGGAGGAGTTGATGAGATTCATGGCTAAAAGGACCTGCAGCACAGCACTACATTGAAAATAAAATTCTGTGAGAGAAGAAAGAAAGAGAGAGAGATAGAGTTGATCAAATTTGATGACCAAACCACACAACAGAAGATGAGGAGACGATGACGTTTCAGTCTGTCCTGGATCGAACAGGACAGACCGATTATCAAGTCGATTACCTAGACAATCGACTTGATAATGGTCCAGGACGGACTAAAACGGCATCTCCTCCTCCTCCTCTCGTGTGTGGTTTTGTCATCATGTCTTCAGCCATGTTGTGACTCATCATCTGCACTTCATTAAATTTGGCCAAATTAAACAGGTATCCTGGGTCTATGCCAGGCATCTCACAATGCAAATTTTTATAAATATTTGTATTAAAATACTGTACATGTATGTCATTCTTTGTGCAATAATATTATTAATAATAATTTATAATTATAATAAATACAGTAGCAAGATTATAAAGAAATAGAAGGAAGAGGAAGAGGAGGAGGAGAGGAAGGAGAAAAGAATAATAATAATAATACTTTGTACCTTTCCTCAAGACTCCATTACGTTAAATTAAGCTACAACATAATGTTATCTTGTGTCCAAAACTGTACGTTTCTCCATGAGTTTAAAAAAATAGACCAGCTGTGAACCTAAAAATATAAATTTACTCGCCTCTCGGTATTGATATACTTGACTAAATTAGAGTGATGGTATGCATGTTGCAGCGTTCAAACATGTCACTTGTGGGGACAATCTTATGGGTCATCTGATTTTTTTTTTTTTTTAGTTTAGTTGGTTTATTATGGACCTGTTCGAACATCACGATGGAGTGGGCATTGGTAGAAGTCAGTTATGCAAGTTACAGTGATGCAAGCTTGGGTCATTGGTATACATATGTTATGAATAATGAAGCCTATTTTAGAATTTCATAGGCCTTTCAAAACTATTTTCCTAAATTTACATGAGGCCTGACACTAGTGGCTTCGACGAGGATAGGAAGCCGGCAGCTTGTCAAAGGTACACCCATTTGCCCTGATGATCTTATTCAGTTGGATTTTAAAATTTATCAGAGTTTAAGCCTTTATGGCTTAAATGGATGGGTAGGCAGTTCCATGGGTTTATAACCCTGTGGGTGAAAAAGCATCTGCTGTTCTCAGTCCTACACTGTAGCTTGTTGAGCTTGAAACCACTGCTCCTTGTTTGTGTTACATCTGACTTTTTGAAGAAATTTTCTAGATCAACATCCTCCAAATTGTTCAGTATTTTGACATATATTCAGTATTTTATAAGTCTCAATGAGATCCACCCTGTCATGCCTGGTTTGCAGTGTTGTTAGGCCTGTGACCCTCAACCGTTCCTGATATGAGAGTTGATTTAGCTCTGGAATAGATTTTGTTGCCCAGTGTTGCACTTTCTCCAGAGCAGCTATGTTTTTCTGAAGATGAGGTCACCATGCCTGGATGCAATAATCCAAGCACCAGAGACTTATTTATTTATATATTTATATATACATATATACAAGAAGGTACACTGGGTTTATGAGAGTATATAGCATTGATATTTTTACATTTTTGTAAAGCCCCTAACACGCATAGTGTTTCGGGCGGTCCTTAATCTAATAGATAATTTAAAGTAGGTAATTTGAAGCAAAATTGAAGAATATTAACAGGTACATTGTAAGAAAATTTGAAGAAAATTAATAGATACATTGTAGTATAATTTGAGGATTATCAACAGGTACATTGTAGCATAATTTAAGGATTAATAGGTGCATTGTAGTAAAATTTGCATTCAACATAACCATGATATAATTCGATAGCAGTGATTACAATGGTGAAGTTGTATGACTTAGAACTATATATTGGGGAAGTAGATAGCACAAAATGCAGTGCGAGTTTGAAGCACTAGGTATGAATCTATGAGGATGAAATTAGGTACTTTTTGGTTTTATTTTTGAATAAGACACAGGTGGGACAACCTTTTAATTTGTTAGGGAGCGAGTTCCATAGACTAGGTCCCTTTATTTGCATAGAGTGTTTACACAGATTTAGTTTGACTCTGGGGATATCAAAGATATATTTATTTCTGATGTGGTGCTCATGGGTTCTAATACATCTGTCCAGGAAGTTTCAGATTGGGATTTGCATTTAGGAATAAGGTTTTGTACATGTAAATGTCACAAAAGAATGTGTGGAGCGAGTTCATGTTTAGCATATTAAGGGATTTAAATGGGAGGAGGGGGGGGGGCTGAGTGTTGCCTGAAAACAGAGTTTGTTATTGTTCTGATGGTAGATTTTTGCTGGGTGATGATGGGCTTGAGGTAGTTTGCAGTGGTTGAACTTATACAATCAAATGACTACCATCTAAGCTTGATTATTCCTTGGGTTTGGTTAAAAAAAAATTTACTGCTGTTCTCACTTGGTGTGTGCAACTTTCAGTGAATGATGGATTCTGTCTCTTCTTTATCAATCAGCTGCAAGGTAATACAGTACTGTTAATTTGGTAACAGTACAAGCTATGCTAAATGCACAACTTATACTTCATTCTAACTGTCTTAACTCCTCAAACCAGCCCCAACCATCAAGGCCGACCAATCATGCCGTTCCTTGTTCACGAACCTCGGCTATATTTGTGAATAAGAACCTACCAGACTTATATGTTGTCACGTTAAGGTTCTGCGCTACTCCATCTAGTCCTCAGCGCGTCACTGACTCTGTGTCATCACTCCCAACACCTCAAAGGAGAATTTATGTTCCGTAATTTCCTAGAAAAACACAAAAATATCGCTCTTATCTTAAGACGTCCTATAATCCACGTTAAGACACGTCCAGTCTCTTACAACCAGAGTTTCCCTTCTGGATATACTCAGAGGATTACGTATATAATTGTTTTATTTATACACTGCAACATCATTCAGCACGATTAAATACCATGGTTACGACAGGTTACTCTCCAAAATATTCATGATTATGAAAAGTATTTTCGTTAAAGAAATTCTGTAAATTTAACGTTGTTTATATACCCTTTAAGGGATCTCAATCTTAATATGCATGACCGGAAAATTTAGTTCCCGTTTTCTATAGTCGGGGACAGTAATTGAAATTGAAATTGAAATAAGTTTATTGAGGTAAAATACACACAAAGGGATGAGGTAGCTCAAGCTATTCTCACCCCATTCAGTACAACGTGTTAATATATACATAGACACACATCACAAATAAACATATTGCCAAACATTCTGAGAGGTAAACATATACATTTCCTCCTTCACAAGTAGTATGTTATCAGACGTACACACAAATACTTTTATGACCTAGGTATACTGTATAGACAATTTGCAAGAGACATGCAGATAATTCAACAAAATATTACAATCTTGGTGCAAAATTCTTATATCTCTCAAGAATATCATCAACCTTTCCGTTGTGACACATCCAGGCTATTTGTTCAGGAACAGTCCTTATCTCAGTGTTTCTATATACATTAATCAACGGACAAAAAAAAAAAAGCCTTAGTAAGACAGTAAGCCTTACGCTAGTCATATATTTATCTCTATGACAATTTTTTTGTTCATAGTATAAAATGTATTCTACAGTGTGTCCCTGTCTTTGTCTACACACTTTACACTTCACGTCGTCGTGAACCGGTGGTCCGTGAGAAAATTTTGGTGGTCCCATTCCTTGCATTTTTTATTATGTTTTATTAATAATAAAACAACATTAATATTCTAAGAAATTCTTTATTCTTAATGTTTTATTTTATTTGTGTATTGTATGTAACTGTGTGTTGTATGTGACTATTTTCTTTGACTGTTATATTTACTGGCATCAAATAGTTTGACTTTAATAACAATCATTTCTTGTTTGGTTTCAGATTCGAATGCAATAAACCCATAACGAGTGAAAAAAGCAAAGGAATATTTCGCATTTCTTTAGCACTTTCTTTAGTATTACAAAAGAGAGATTTTACTAGTGGAGGCTAATAGGGCAGCTTTACATTTCACGTTCTGTCCTGATTCCATGTATGACTTTTTTTTTATTAACAAGCTTAGGTATACACAGCAATGTGCTGTTTCCCTATTATGTATGAAAGATTACACAGTGTAGGTCAAAAACTAGCTATAAGTTCATATAATATTCCCATCTCACAGGATGGTTAGTCATACATGGAGTCAGGGGAGCAAATACCAGCCTCAATACAAAAACAAATCAACTCTTACTAAACAACTAGCTATAAGTTCATCTAATATTCCCATCTTACAGGATGGTTAGTCATACATGGAATCAGGGGAGAAAATACCAGCATATATGACTGGCCTTCCTGTGAGGTGGGGATGTTGGATGAGCTCGTGGCTGATTTTTTATCTACACTGTGTAATCTTTCATACAGCAATGATATTATGTGGAGCTGAGCTGAATCATTGACGTCGGGGTTATGTCGTCTGGACCCGTGCCTTCTGTGCCGCCACACAGAAGCCTACTCCCCGGGGTCGATCTCGTAGGTGTCATTGACGCTGGAGCCCGCCCTCGCAGAGACTAGCCCCTGCAAGGCTGGCCCCAGGACGGGTGTGAGAGCTGGAACCCGTCTGCACAGAGGTCGACTCCCCAGGGTCGACCACGTGGCTGGCATTGTCGCTGGGGCAGGGAAAATCGCTCACAGAGAAAAGCCCCCTTCCCCAAGGCTGACCTCCAGTGTTATATAGTCGTAATGGCTTGGCACTTTCCCATGACAATTCCCTCTTCCCCAAAGACAGACCATAGGGCAGGTGTGGGAACTGGAACCCGTCCGCACAGAGGCCGACTCCCCAGGGGTCGACCTTGTGGCTGGCGTTGATGCTGGAGCCTGCCCTCGAGCTCCAACCCGTTTTCGCCGGTCCGCGAGTAGGTGGACCTTTTTCGGATATTAAGCCCTGCTGGTGCAACCCCCTGTAGGTGTGAGGAAACCCCCTGCCGGGACCGTGAATTCATGTTTGCACAAACTCCTGTTGATGCTGTAGGCACTCCCGCCTTCACAATATTCCTGCCGGCGAAGTGGGGAGTAACTCTTGGGCACGCCGTCGGGAGGAAGGGGACGGAGCTGCAGCTTCGGGGGAGTGGGCGGGTTTGGCCAGGGAGTGTCCTGAAAAAAAAGCCATCCGGTCAGCATGGGCGCCTGGTTAAGCCACAATGGCGATCCGGGGCCACAAAGTTTAGACTGCCCTTTCCCGCAGTCAGTGATGGGTCAGCAGAAGGAGCTTCCCACTCTCAGCTTGGCGGAGGTTCGTTGACTCCTCGCCAGGGGTCGGACGGTCGTCAATGTTTGTAAACACCACTATGGACGACGAGGAGGGCGGCGCGCCGGCCGAGCCTGCTAGGAGAAAGGCCGCTGCCACCGCCACCCTCAACATTAGCAAAAAAAATGCCACTCGGTTGAAAAGAGTAAGTGTCCCTCTGTGCCCCGGAGCGGGTACGAGCGCCGGAGAGGGGCGAGGCGGCGCGGAGAAGGGCTAAGATGCCAAGCTTTGGTTGGTCCGTCTTGAGAGGATATTGCCGAGGTGGCAGCTCAAGAGGGGCGGCTTTGTCGTTACACAGGGTCGGGTCGTTATCTAGGATTTCGTTGTTATCCGGGGCTTCGTAGGGGCAGTTGAGAGGGGGCTCGTTAGCCTGGGCTGTAGGGCGCTGATAACTTTTTGTGACAGCTTGTGATTGAAGCAGAGTCCCGTGAGAAGAGTTTAGAGGCTGCTTTGTTTACCATTGGGTGGTGGTGGCTGCCCTTATTGTTCTACTGTGATCTGTCATGGAAACTCAATGTATAGTTTAATTATTAATTTAAAATGTAAGAATATAAGGCAGGACAAAATGATAGTTGAGTGCTATGTGAGGAAGAGTAGTATGTGGTACAATACCTAGACTTGACAGGGAAACTAAATTAAGATAGACAGTGTTGTATCAGATAGGACTATTAATAAACTGTTCTTGCCTTAAAAATGGAATAAATTAACTTGATGAGGTTCTGTTTAAATTTTGGCTAAACAAAGCCTTACTTAAAGGCTTATTGCAAGCCAAATCCTTGCTCTTCACATGTCTCTCTCCCCAGTGAACACAAAGTTTACTTCATTTCTTTGTGGTCATTGTCACTTCCTTGTGTTGTTTTTGACTGTCCGGTGTTTTACAGCCAGAGATCTTTTTCATCAGCTGGATTTTGACATTTGACCCCCAGCTTCAACATTATAAAAAGAGTTACAGATCAAATCATTGATAATCTTTATACAGGTTTCGTAGATCCTCAAATATTTTCAAATATGTATATGGAAAGATTGAGAGAGTTTTACTAGACTACTATTGCACAGTGCCAATTAGTTTCAATAGAGGAGTCATAGAGCTCTACATATTTTCTTGATGTTCAGTCCTGTACAGTATTTGGACTAAATTTGGACTTAATTTATCACAAGTTAGTTACTTAGACTGAGGAAAAAATACAACCTATCTGTGACATAGTGCTCTAATCTTAGCCACCTGTCCAATAAGCCTTTTATTAAAAAAAGTTTAACCATAGTTATTTTAATCATATTACTGGGTTTAACCATGAAAGTTGAATAAGTTTTGTCCCATAATTTATGATTATAGGCCATTTATTTACTGAGTAATTAGATGTGTACTGTATTTATTTGATTTCATAGTGTGAAATAGGGTATTTGTCAACCTTATGTTGGGAACACTTTACTGCTGAAAAATTTTGTTATTAAGTTAATGAATTTAAGTGTTTATTTCTCTGCTAATTATCTCATCATTATATTTTGACATATGTATATAGCAGTTGTTCATTTGATAAATTAATGCTCATTGATTGTGATTTACAGCTAATTTAATGATGATTATTGAAAATTAGAATATAAATTTTGCCTATATTATAATATTACTATGCTTTACTGTACTTTGACTTTGACAAAGTCAAAGTACTAAAGTCCTTTAGTATAAAGACCAAGAAGAGATAGTCTTTATTACCTAAAGTGGTGAGCAAAAATGCTCTTGCTTGTTGATAGGTCGTCTTTTGTCTCATTCAAGCTGATAAACAGGGGGGGGGGATAAGTTATGAGGAAATAACAACAAGTTAAAGCCCCACTCCTATGCCAGGTAAGTCCACTACGGGCTCACCATATCCTGTTCTACTGTACTTGGAACTTTTTGTTCAGGGTAGCTGAATCTAAAACAACAAAGACGAGGAAAGAAGGAATTAAAAGGCAACTGGCAGTAAAAGAGTTAGGGAAGACATGATTGAAAAAAAAGAAAATTCTTGAGCATTTGCAGGACAGATTACTTGCAATGGTTGGTACATGAATAATGAGACAGTTCAAAACTAAGTTCCTGAATGAGCCACAAAAACATTGAAAAGAATTTTGTCTGTCATAATAATGAACAATTTTGAACGCTCTGTAAAGTGAAGTGGTGGAGGCAGGTTCAATAGAGCTTCAAATGTAAATATAACAACCCAGTAGGCTCAGGAACCTCTTCAGTATTTGATGATAGGTTGAGGGTACACTATTTGATTATAGGTTGGAACTAGAGTGCCAAAACTCAACCCCCATCAAGATCTATTTGGTGACTATTCTAGCCTGCCTTCCCAATAAAATAATATCCTTCCTTAATCTTCATCTGTCTATAGTAATAAGTAATGCTTTGCCCAAAACCCTTTGCAAAATAGTGGCTTAATTAGTGTGTGTAATTCCTGTCCCCTACAATTGTACATTACTCGTATGTTTTTTGTACGCACATTATTTGTAATTATTATTATTATTATTATTATTATTATTATTATTATTATTATTATTATTATAGATTGTAAATTAAGCTTTCTTAATTTCTCTTGTTGACTGGTCCTTAGTCTCCGAGACTGCCTTTGTCACCCTTCCTGCTTGCATTCTATGGCATTTTTAATAGTTCTATAGTTTGGTGCCCATGACTGAACTGCATAATCTGAATGGAGTTTAGCAAGTGTTAAATAAATCTGAAGAATATTATTAAATGTTTTATTATTAAGGCTACTTAGATATGTACAATTCTGTATAGTAATTAAATATTATTTTCTAAATCTTAAGGGCTACTTTTTGTATTATGAAAAAGGCTGTGCTATTTATTCTGATAAAACGCTACAATATGATTACAGTACTGTTATTTATAGGTATCATCAATACTGAGAAAAAAGCGCAGCTCACTTACATTGGATGATAGACGACTGCTGGAAGAAAATGCTGAATTGGTGGAAGAGTTTTATAAAAGGTTAGCGAGGAATTTGTTTGTTCACTTTGTCTAGAAAGTGAGTTGCTTAAGTATACAGTAAAATCAATAGCTTTAATGGATGTATTAAAAACTACAATGATCACTAGATTTGTTAAATGGTGACCACATTATAAATTTCATGCGCTATTTCTTTTTCCATCTTCACAACAGACGTGAGCGCCGGGCAGTGTGGCAGTCTCGGAAAACGGAGCAGGAAGACACGAAAGAAGACTTGCAGGCCAAGTGTGAGCAGTTGGCTCAGGTGGGAAGGCAGGAGCAGTATCTGTCATATTAACTGATAGTATATGAGGTCAGGAGCAGTATGTCAAGTTATAATGCAGGAGGGTAGGAGAAATAGCTGTCATGTTAACTGATAGTGTAGGAGCGCAGGAGAAGTACTGTATCTGTCATGTTAACTAACTTCCTTTCAGGCAGTTGTTTCCTTTATATATACTTTCTTGTGAGTTTTCTTCCTTGCTTATACTTTCTGATGGGTTTTCTGCCTTGCTTATATTTTCTGGTGGGTTTTCTTTCTTGATTATACTTTCTGGTGAGTTTTTTGCCTTGCTTATACTTTCTGGTGGGTTTTCTTCCTTGCTTATACTTTCTGGTAGGTTTTCTGCCTTGCTTATACTTTCTGGTAGGTTTTCTTTCTTGCTTATACTTTCTGGTGGATTTTCTTTCTTGCTTATACTTTCTGGTGAGTTTTCTGCCTTGCTTATATTTTCTGGTGGGGTTTTTCTTGGTTTTAGCTTGATTTCAGATTCCCCAAGCTTCCCTTGCCTCATACAGAGAGCCAGATTCTGGTTCCGGTTCCTGGTTGGCTTGGGTGGATCTCATAGGCCTTATGTGCAATTCCTGAAGGTTTGGCTGTTGAAGTACGGCAGCTTGGAGAGCTGCTGCATGGGCCACTATAAAAGGGTGTTTCATTATATTGAGTGCTTGACTTTTCACTTTAATTATAGTATTTTGTTTCAGGCAATTCATGATGCGGAATTCCTAGTGGTGTATACTGGAGCTGGCATTTCTACAGCTGCTTCTATTCCTGATTATCGTGGCCCCAATGGTATATGGACAATGCTTCAGAAGGGCCTTGATGTTGGGTATGTCATAATAATTCTGGTAAATTAGTTGAAAAAAGTCTTGAGATTTGTTGTATTAGACTGTGTATTAGATTTTTCCAAGTCTAGCTTTGTGAAATGTAATTATGTCTCCAGTAGTTAATATGGATTTTTGAGTTTAGTTTCAATATTCAATTTTAGGATATTTTGGCTAGTGTATGGTTAGGGATTGAGCATATCAAATAAATATTTTAGTAATTCAATTTATCAAAATAATATCCACTTTATAAATTGTAGGTAAAGTTATCATATACAGTACAATAAAATTTGTTTTTCTGGATTTTGCTTTCTATTGTCTCAGAAAGTGCTTATACTTTAGGATGAAAATCTTTATACAACACTCAAAGGGAGTCCCCAATTTACTGATGAAATACATTCCAAAATTATTTTCATACGTTGATTGTTCGTATATTGGAACCAGATTTCCCACAAGCATTCCAAAATGGCTTTTCATAAGTTGGCTGTTCGTATCTTGTAACCAGATTTCCCACAAGCATAATGTTGTATATTATGGAAACATTTCCGAACCATTTCTTGGGCAGCTGTTCATAAAGATCAGGTGTTTTGTATGTCAGATGTTTAGATGATCAGTAACCCCAGTATTTCTGAAATATAAATTACAGCAAGGGTATAGTTTTATTAAGCCTTTGTGGATTGTATTTCTGAATACTGACAGTAAGGATACTGTGAAGAGAGCACTGACGGAGTGTCACCAGTGGGGCTCAACGAGGCTCTGCCCTTTGTTTTCCCCATGACATTTTTGACAAGTTATGATATTTTGGTCATGGCATGTGATATTGTGAAAGGATGTTGTACTTCTTTGTGTTGGTTGACTCTTAACCATTTTACATTGCTCCAATATCTATTTGCAATTTCTTCCTGTGCACAAATCACCATATGTGATTTTTTCTCATTAGTTCTGAATATTTTTTCCGTGGGCACCTGGATATAGAACTTTTAAATGACTTGCCTGTTTAAGGGTTAACTCTTAGTTGCCTGGGAAAGGAGGGTGTGAATATCCTCTTCTCCGCTGCTGCTGCAGTAGAGGACATTGGTCCAGCAAGTGTTAAGCCAGTATGTATCCAAAATGGCATTCAGCCGCTGATGGTCCTTGACACAGGGAACTTAGCATGGTTGCTATTCTATTTTGTACTCAGCATGGGAACAATACACCCCCATCCCCCAAAACAAAACAAAATAAAGTAAGATGGAGTGAAGAGTGCCTTATGGGTTCTCTAACTAGCTGCTGCTGAGCTACCAGTACAAATAAAAATGAATCCAGGATGTAGGACTGCATCAGTTTATATATTTCTTTTATATGAAATCTGCTAGTCGTGTGAGTTTGTTGTGTTCAAACCATGGATGTACACTTCTTGGTGCCAGTGTTACTGTCAAGTAGTTCCTTCATGGGAAAGTGAAGGATGTGCAAGACAGGGAAACAGGGATAATACTAAACTGTTCATAATTGTGGATTCCCCTCCTATTTAGGTACCACAATATTGTGGGTTCAGTGACACAAAGTCGGTATGCACTTCCCTGTACTAGTAATGCTTCTCATGCCATAAGCCTTCATAATTCATACTTACCATATGGTATCTTGCTGCAATCATTATGTATTGTTGATCAATACATAAAACTTACCATGAAGTTACATGATAAGGATACCTTATAGTATTGTCTTGCTTATTTAGTATTGCATAGTTTTTCTTCTGACAAGATTGCATTCAATATACTGAATGCATGTTTGTATGGAATGTACTCTTAAAATACCTAAATTTGAACAAAAAATGTACAGCTTCTGTTGAAACTGAGCAATGCTGTCCCAAGCTAGAATTTGATTTAAGCATGGACCCCTATGGATCCTCTCCAAACCATGACCTGGGTCAACCCAGGACATGGTACCATACTTCTGCTAAGCTCTTGTTGACCTGTGTCTGATGGTGATAAGGAACTTTTCAAATAGTCTTGTTATCTAGCTGGCTAATTACTCACTACATTCAATCACCACTACATGACAACACAACCACTTTAGCACCTTTAGAGGAGCCAGCCACCCTCATTTGTTACCTGGTATTCCACCTGTTTCTTCTCACCTTTGTAGTGGTAGATTCTCTTGAGTTATCTGGTGGAGCCAGTTATTTGCATACCTGTGACTAGTGTTATTTGCTGCTGCTTCTCTGCATTTGTCTGGTTAAGCCATCAGTATTGTCTAACACCCCTGTCTTACCTTGGCTGTGTCTTTTGAACTCTGTCACAGGCCTAGACCTTGGTGCCATGCTCTGTTTACATTTGTACTCAAAAGAGTCAACCATGTGTATTTTCTCAGCTCAACTATTGAGTTGCTCCCTAGACACAGTCATGGCAGATCAACATTTACATCTCAGCCTAGTGGAGATCTTTTTAAGCATTCTTGAAGGATCATACTGTGGTGAACAATACAGGGAATTGCTGTATTCAGCCTTGACTGACCTCTAGAAGGTTCATCCATGTACACTCAGTTGCCCTGCAAGAACCACTCAGTGTCAAGGTGATTGAAGAATATTGCTGTGCTGTTAGTTGACCTACCTGGCTCCTGTATAATGCAGAGTTCCACATTTTACACATACATTATTCAGTAAAAATTGTAGTCATGTTATATATTTATAAGTCCATTAATAATTCATTGTTCATAAATAAATGCTGATTTATTAGGACATTTTTGTTTGTTTTGCTTATTGTATGAATGCCTCAGAGTTAAGCAAGCATTTTTAGGTGTTCATTTGAAATGTCATATTTGGAATGCCTATTGAGTGTTTGTAAATAATCTTATGTAAGAAATGAATATGTAGTAACTGCCCCTTCTGTTGAGAGGTCATTTGTGTCAATCATGTTTAGCCTTTCTACAGGAATGTCTTTAGAAAGAGGGATGGTTAAGCTCAAAACATAAATAAGTTGATTGTTTATTTGGTCACCTAATCTGTATAATCCAAAAAGAAAAGTTTGATTGCTTGTATCAGCTTATCACTGAATATTTCTGTGATTATAATAATATTGTAATGTATAAATAAGCATTTACTGTAATTGTTTTATTGCAGTATTACACATTTATAGCTTTTGAACCAGTGAGTAATATTTTCAGAGCTTTGGATATACTAAGTGCTGCAGTATAACTACTGATATCTGCAGCTCTGAAGTTACATGATCAAGTGCAGTGTATTGTATCCCCAGGCACCATGACTTGTCTGCGGCAGAGCCAACACTGACGCACATGGCCTTATCCGCTCTGTACCAGCAAGGTATCGTGCGGCACGTGGTTTCCCAAAACTGTGATGGGTTGCATCTGCGCTCTGGTTTGCCAAAGACAGCTATGTCAGAAGTACATGGGAATATGTACATTGAGGTTGGTATTGTTTAGATATCAGTACTGTATTTTTCCATATTCAAGATAATTGCTCTAGTGTATATTCAGTTATCATACAGTACATGCATTATTATCAACAAATGATTTTGGTAATGATGAACTACTACTATGTATGGGGGTGAAAGGATAGAATGGGAGAGAACACTGATTATGTATTCTTGGAAAAGTGCATAGAATTGTATGAGAATAGAAATGCCAAATGGCACTTTTCACCATGTTAAAAGTGTCACCTTAAAAATCTGGGTAATCGTATTCTGAACAGGTAATCTATGTTATTGTGACTCATCATCTGCTTTTTGTCAGTTGTTTCATAATGGCGACACATTACTTTTGCCTCTGTCACTCTGCTTGGTAGGCTTAAGTTTTTTTTTTTTTTTTTGCATCCATGGGTGTGCAATAGTTGTTGTCCCTGGACATCTGTGATGATTGAGCCACCCTCCATGGTGGTGGCCTATCAGGCAACTTCTACATTCTGTGTTCAGTGGGTATGTTACGATAATGACTTTTGCATCTTCCCCTTCCCTTGGCATAGTTGCTCAACCATGCATTGAGTTTTGGCAGGAGGTTTGTCTCCACCTCTAACCTGAAATTGGCTTATATCACAGTATGGGAATTTGTGGCAGTTTTAACAGCCTTTCGTCACATCCCTCTCTCAGTGAGCCCTGTGATTGTGCCTCACTCGCATTGCATGTTGGTGGCCCACTGCCTCAATGGAGGGAGCATCAGTTGCTCCCTTTCCTTGTTGGGTGGAATCTCCAGATACTGTACAATAATCTCATTTCTGGATTCTTGGGATTTAGTCCTAAATGCAGATCTGGGGGACTCATTCCTTTGGATTTTTGAGACGTTTTGGCCTTTCCCAAGATGGATCTCTTTGCTTTGGTGTCCCCTGGTGAAGGACACCAAGGTGCTTTCCGTATTGTTGTTTTCTTTGTGAATCCCATTTCTTTAGGCTAATTTCCAAGGCAAGGCTTTCTCAGGTTATCTATCTAACCTGATTGATAATTTATTTCAGCCTGTTAACTTTCCATTACTCCCCTAATTTTAAAATTAGTTTGATGAGGTAAGCTCTATCTGTGATCATGAGGTGCACCAACTATCCATCTAGCTGGTGATATTTATTTTAAATAACGCAGAATCGTAAAGAGATACGGTACAAATAGTAATAGAATTATGTATATTTTACCTACTCCGACAGTCAATATCATGCCTGGAGATTTTATGTTCCAGTCTCTCGCACTCTTTGAAAAAATATTATATTTTCACATGGAATAACATTAGCAGCTCATGTTAAGTTTATTATTACTTGTACAGTATATCGTTATTTTATTCATGACTGACATTTTGTTTGAAGTAATTGATTAAAATTGATAAATGTACTCTTCTATGTAGGTGTGTAAGCATTGTGTGCCAGCACGGGAATACGTGAGAACATTCGATGTGACAGAGAGAACCTCCATCTACAAGCATACTACCAGCCGACGCTGCTACAGGTGGGTAGGGTATTGTTCCTAGTGCAGCGTAATCATTTTCATATTCAAAGTCCTTGACAGGTAAAGGTAGTTAACTCTTGGGGTCATTGTGACACTGAGGCATCAAGAAAGTCTGGGTTCCTATTGTGACACTGAGATATCCACAGATTTATAAATTAGGCATACTGCTAAAGCCAGTCTTTTTGTCCATGACTGAATGGTTTATGCTTCCATTTTGGGACTTGCTAATGTCTTGGTTGTATCCAATCTACTTTCTCTTGGGGGAGGATTGCTCTTATACTCATGAATTTACTACCAATTTCCCCATCACCTTTGAGTGCAAAAATTTTGACTTTAAGCTAATGTATTTTAAAATATAATCTTTTCTGGCTGATATAAATGTCCATTAAAGTTTTAGAATATCAGCCATGTTCCTTGTTTTTTCTTTACAATAAAACAAATTGACGAGTTTTAAAGAATATAAATAGCTCAAGGAAGCAGAATTTTCATATTAAACATATGTAGATAGAGAGTAGTTTTATAAATCTATTATATTGTGAATCTGTTTTGAATTCATAAATTATGTTTTCAGATGCGGTGAACCATTAATAGACACTATTGTTCATTTTGGTGAGAGAGGGAAGCTTCGGTGGCCTCTGAACTGGCAGGGAGCATGCCAGGCTGCTAATGCTTGTGATACCATCCTATGTCTAGGCTCCAGTCTGAAGGTTTGTCTAGGGTTTTTATAAATGTATCTTTATACAGTAGAGCCTCGATTAACAAATTTCCGATTGGAGCATACTGTACTTTCCATGCCAGATTTACTTGCCCGAGAATCGTGCCCTGTTTCTACGAACAAGAGTTCGCAGAAGCAGGGGATGCGTGGATTTGCTTAGGGTGATTGGTTCTTTTTCCTTTGAAAATGACTTAGACAATATGCTAGATGTAGTTAAATCTCTTTATAGACAAGTTCTCTTCATAGTTGTCCTTCATATGACTGGTTGAAATAAAAATTTTGCTCAGTGACATCAGCTCATAGAGCATAGGAAATATTAGGGTATGAATGGTAACACACTTATTATGGCTCCAGTCACGATCTTAATAATGTTTGTATATGGACTCGGTGTTACAAGAAACAGTTGGGAGTCTTGGGAAAGCTATTGTTGATATTTAAAACCAATTTCTACTGTTTGTTTTCATTTTGAGTTGGCATGGTTTTCGTTTACTCAAGTATTGCCCTGCTACCTATTGAAAATGAGTTTTAGTGTGGGAACCGTGAGAAATAAGCTAGATGCGGTTAAATTTGTTTATAGACATGTTCATTTGATAGTTGCCTATTATATTATAGGTTGAAATTAAAATTTCCATAAGTGAAATTAAACCCATAGAGCATGGTGAATGCATCCTGGAAGCATCTCTGGTTGCAACAAATCTCTCACTGCAACGAATTGGGGGTTGGCCCCATATACAATAGTTCATTGAATTGAGGTTGTACTGTATTGGTGTGTAGGATTTGGTTGAAGGAACATTGCTGTTTAGGTTCTTATGTAAAGAAGATTGCCGTCTCTTTGGTCTAATGAATGTATTGATTAATTATATACCAATGCACAGTGGTTTTATTTGGGTGCAGAATTTGTACTTTGATATTGGAATATTACAGATCATTGAACATTTTCCTTGCAGGTCTTGAAGAAATATACGTGGCTGTGGCAGATGGACCGGCCGGCAAAGAAGCGGCCGCAGCTGTATATCGTCAACCTGCAGTGGACACCAAAAGATAAGGACGCTACACTTAAGATAAATGGTAAAAAGAGTACAGTATGCTTATATATACAGATTCTATGTTCCCAGATATTTTGTTTAGTCAAAATATCTGAATATATGTTGCTAGTTTTTCCTCTCTCATTTGGATTGAGGTTTTTACTGCATGCATTGTACATCCTCTTATCTCACTGGTAGATAACCTCAACACACACAAAGTAAGATATTAAAGATAATCTTCCATATTGCTAGATTCATTGCCATCATTTATTATGTACAATCGACTGGTATGTTACACAAGGCCTTCATTCATCATTCAACAAAACACTTTTTCTGCACTTAATCATCAGTCATCGTGCTTTCAGCATTTCCTGTAATATTGTACTTTTTATTTATCATCCCAAAAATCCAGCTCCCAGATTATTCTGCAACTGCACCTCTTTATTGTGCAAGTAGGGCTGTGTAGAAGTTCACATTGGCAGCATTTGTGTTAAGTCGTAGGTTAAATTGTCCATAATGCATCTACTTTCAACATCACCTGACTGTGATTAATATATATTGCTGTGTATATCAATGCTTTATCACAGTTTCTTATAGCTACAATTTACCAAGTGTTAGCCTTCATTTCTACCCTTTTCCCATATGTTTAGTCTTTGAATGTTCCAATAATTATTTGTCTTTATATCCCCTGCATTATAAGAGGATGGATTAGGCACTCGACTCAAAATATCTTTATACCAAAGACAAAAACCTTAGCACCGGTGTAGTGTGTCGACCTGCTCTCTGTCTGCCCTATGGAGCAAGCAAGTGTTCTGCTCACTCAGAAAGATGCTTTTCATATACCCCCTCGAAGCTAGATTTTTAGATGACGAATGTCAAGAATCACTCGAAACATAGTCACACAATGTGATGGGTTACTGCTTTGGATGTTATGCATTAGTGTGATGGTGCTGGTTCTGCATGTTACTTGTTAGTGTGAGAGAAATTGCGAATGGAATGGATGAGTGAGTGAGGTTACTTTGAGGTGCTTCCAGGGCTTAGCGTCCCCGCGGCCCGGTCGTCGACCAGGCCTCCTGAGCATAGAACTTTTTGAGTAACTTTAATCTTTTCTCCCTACATTGCTATTTTATTTTTCTTCAGACTCTTGGCACCCTGCCCTATAAAAATTTGAAACAAGATTATGTTGATGTTGATGATGATCACGATGATTGTAGTTTAAGCAACATCGTTGTTAACTAAAGATTATGCATATATGAAACAACATGCATGGTCCCATTCTCCTTTCAGGTAAATGTGATGAGGTGATGGCCTTAGTGATGAAAGCTTTAGGCTATGAATTGCCTTTCTATTCACGCTCCAGTGATCCAATTTTCAACCTTTCAACTCAACTCCACCCCGCTGAAGCTGCCACCTCCTCCCGTCCACTCCTGATTCCTCCACCAGAAGATGATGAGGCACTGGACGTGGTGGAAAACAAAGACCCGGTGGTTACAGGGCACGATGTAAGATGGAGTGGGAAGGTAGACAGGAATGGCAAGCATTCTGAAGAGGTTAAAGAAGAAAATCTAGAAAATGAAGTCAAAGATGAGAAATGTGACATAAAAAGTGAAACTAAACATGACATAAAACCTGTGAATGGTGTTCATTCAGCTTTGAATTTTGCTCTCCATACTCAGTCATTCGAAAATGCAAATAGTGATTCTAAAGATGAGTGTAAACCCATTTTAGACGAGTCTAATAGTTTGATAAAAAGTGAAGGTGAATTAATCAATGATGTGAAGGATGAAATGGATATCAAAGAGGAAAAGACATGGAATAATGGGGAGAGCTTTCCAGGTCACTACAGTGAGCTGTACAGAGCCCTAACAGTCAAGAGTAAAAGTAATGAAGGTCATGAGGCATTGGAAAGCTCCGTCGACATGGAAGAAATGAAAAGTGAGCCCTCGGACAGTGATGAAGACTTTCAAACTTCTGATGCTGAAGGGGACCCATGGCTAAGTGACAAACTAGAAGAGAATACATTAGATGAAGAGAGTTCGTGTACCGATTCAGACTCCAGTGAACAAATGGATGATTGTCAGACAGAGGATTCTGAAATGAACATTTCAGACCCTCATCCACTGAAACCCAATAACATTGACTATTTCAAGTTAGCTTATGCATCTACCAATGTTCAGATGGCCAAGCAAGGTCAGGCCATTTTAAAACAAAATGACTTTTATGGTACTGGCCTCTGCATAAGATCGTTTGTTGACAACTCTAAAACCAGTGATAGGAATTATAAGCCTGCTTCAAATAGAGGGGTAAAGTCAAGTACTATTGTGACTGCAAGCGAGAACACTCCTCAGAATGCAGTTGCAGGCGTGGAGGCTCCTACAAGTAAATTAACAAGTGTGAAAAGTACATGCAGTAAACACAAACAAAGTGTATGTCATAGTGAGCGGGATGGAAGTGATACCTCTTCCTGTGTGCAGGATGGAAGTGATACCTCTTCCCATGTACGGGATGGAAGTGATACCTCTTCCTGTGTGCGGGATGGATGGGATGCCTCTTCCCGTGCGTGGGATGGAAGTGATACTCTTTCCCATGTGCAGGATGGAAGGAGTACCGCTTCCCAATTACGGGATGGAAGTGATACCTCTTCCCATTTATGGGATGGAAGTGATATTTCTTCTCATTTACGGGATGGAAGTGATATCTCTTCCCGTGTGCAGGATGGAAATGATACCTCTTCCCGTGTACGAGATGGAAGTGATACCTCTTCCTGTGTGCGGGATGGAAGGGATGCCTCTTCCCGTGTGTGGGATGGAAATGCTACCTCTTCCTGTGTGCAAGATGGAAGCGATACCTCTTCCCATGTACGGGATGGAAGTGATACCTCTTCCCATGTACGGGATGGAAGTGATACCTCTTCCTGTGAGCGGGATGGAAGTGATACCTCTTCCCTTGCAACAACCACAGTTTTGTCTGAATTGTCTAGTCTTCCCAACCATTGCAAGTCTCCTACTGCAATGAGTGTGTGTACAAGAAATTGTAATAAGATGTTATCTGTGTGTTCAAGTGAATATGAAAATATATTGACTTCATGTTCGGGGAACTGTAAGCAGAAGTGCGTATGTTGTAATAATCACGAGAGTGATGCAGCGGCAGTGAGTCTTTCTTACAGTCGTTTGAAAACATCAAATCACGTGCTGAAAAAAACACATGATTCAAAGATTTCTTTGAGAATGCCACTATTTTCATCCAAGATACAAGTGAATGATATTAATGAGGCAGAAACTGCCCCTCAGAAGTGTGACGTTCCAATACAAAACACTGTTGATTGTCAGGGAGACAGGTCTTTGACTCGGAGAAATAGTGCGTCTTCAGATGGGAGTTTTATGTTAAGAACGCACATTGTTGATGGCATAATCAGAACAGCTTGTGTTGAAACTCTTACAGATGATAAGCCTGAAGATGAAAATGTGCTTGTTCCTTCCATAGGCATTACCCATAAGGTTTCTCTTCCAAAAGACAATATTACTAGGATAACTCTTCCTTCTCATATTGGTACTAAGAGTCTCAGCATTCCCTTGTGCAATAATTCTTCTTTATGTCAAGAAAACTTTGTCTCAAAAACCCAGGTCAGTGCCATCGCTCAGCACTCAAACTTTAAAAACGTTGATTCCAAGTTTGTGCCTCAGCTCAGGGTTTCTGAAAGTGATGAGTTGAAATCTATTTGGCAACAAAGTTTTTGTGGTTCCAGCAATGAGAAAAACTTGAGTACGTTAGCAATGATGATGGGCATGAAAGAGTGTAGACTTATTAAATGTGAAAATAGGGATCCTAATAATATAAAACCCAGAGGAGACGAAATAGTTCAGAGTCCAGAGAAGTCGAGCTCGGTTATTCTCAAAAACATTTGCACAGAAGCCCTAAATGACAGTGTTGCTCGACAGAAAGGCTCGGCAAAACGTAAACTTAAAGGGTGTGACAATGAGGATGTGAAGTGTATTTGGTTTTGGGGATTTGATAGTAATGTTGAAAATAAAGAAAAGGAGTTTAATGAAAGTCCTGGTAACATGATCAGTGGTGATGAATCCCCAATTATGAACGGCTTGGGTGAAGTTAGTATGGACACAGATGGTAATGAATGTCTGCCTGTTGGGCGAGTGACCAGAAGTAGGACTCGAGCGTCCAGTGATTCTCGAGTTGCCCCTGAAGTTGATGTCTTTAAATGTCACTGTAATGGGAGTAACCCAGAATTGTGTAAAACAGCAAGACTGCGAGCCTCACGAGCTGTATGTGATGCTGATGTTGAAAAAGCGAGGGAAATTATTAGAAGACGACGCACGTACAACTACCGAAAGTATGAACCTGTATTTGAGAAAAAGCTTAAGAGTTTTACATATGAAAGAATAAGGGTAAAAAGAAAATCTAAATTTGAATCTGTACATAGCAATGATTTAGAGAATGTAGATGAAGAGGAATATTATGAGCAAGAAAATGAAGCAAAAGAGGATGAACAAAAAGTCAGTGATAGTGAAGAATGTAGAGAAAAAGATGAAAAAGGTGAGAAAAAAATTACACCAGGGTGGTATGGAAAGGGATTGAGAAAAGGCATGAAAAAGAAAACACGAGTGTGACACAAAAACGCACAAGTTTGGTTGAGTTTCCATGTACCATACACATATATTAAAAGCTCCTGTTTCCTGTATGGAACGAGAAGCTGGTCAGTAGCATGTACCTGAAGATGACATGTGAGGTGGGATCAAAGATTTTATGTTGATATTATATTTTTTGAAAGTTGCCATTATTTATCATTTGATATTGACAAGAGAGGCTTTCACCAGGCATAATTCCATAGAGAATATGGAAGGTGAATGTACATTATTAATGTATATAATTTCCTTCATAGCTCGAAGGTGTGTATATTTTGAATAATACTTTCCGACTTCCTTTTGGTACATCATTTAACCTCAGTAAGTCAATACTGTAGTTCTATCATTGTATGTAAAAAGGTTGAAATTTTCATGGCTGATAAATCCATAGAAGCTCACATTGACCTCTATAACTTATTGTAATAGATCTCTTTATAAAATAAGATGTATGTTTTAATGTACAGGAGATAAGTTATTAGCAAAACTGTTCTGAGAATGTGAGAAATTTGCAAGTCCTGGTAAATGTGTATTGAATATAGTATTTATATTTACTGTCTTATTATGTTTGATCTCTAAGTAGAATAAATAGGGTAGGATTGATCAAAGATTACTCTTAAAATTTTTGACATCCTACCCCTTATAGGTCATTTTTACTGTAGAAGTTTGCTGAATGGTTTTTTTAAAACTTGGGCTTGTTTTATTACATATAAGATATGTCACATTAACATTTATTGCGAATGATAAACTGTGTGAAAGTTTAGAAGATATTAAGGTATTTAGGATTGGGTGTATGTGAGAATATTAAAATAATTTGTCTGAAAATATGTGAAGTATTTGCTTGTTCCGGTACTTCATAACACTAGATTATAAGCGGATAACCGAATTCCTCAATTAATCACTGCCTGTTTACTGTTATGTGTTGCTTTGTCTCCAAGAAAGAGACGGCACTCAGGAACCCGTACCTCGTAAATATGTTTCAGGGAATGCCACACCATGATGGGAGGGCGTGGCTTCTTAAGAATCATTAAGGTGAATATTTGGCCTTCTGCTTGTTAAACACACACAAAGTTCTTGGGAGTACTGTATGCATGGTTTCCTATTTTATTTAATGGAGATTCATATTAGCTGTTGTAAAGTTATGACTGAGATGTTATTGATGAGTAAATGGTTGTCCTTGCATGCAGGTGCTCAACTACCTGTAAATGGCAGCTGTCTTTTGGTGTCACTCATAGTCACAAGTAAGATCTGAAATGCTATAAAAGAAACAATTTGGCTTAAGTCAAGGTTCAGTGCATATTTATGGTACAGTTCAAAATTCCAGGTTATTTCCCCACCACCATCCATATCATATCCTAAAAGAATGTCAACTCAAAAAAAAAAAATAACACTTTTGCATTCTGGGCTTGCACACACCAGACTACCCCAAGGTGGCCCGGGGATTTCCCGTGAGAGCGAGGCAACACTGAAAAGAGAATGTGTATTCTCTTTTCAGTTTTATCACCTCAGTTTTCATTATACGTCGTTCATTTTGGTATCAAAATGTTCGCAATAGAATTCCCTACAGGAGTATATGCATATGAGGTTCAAAAGCCCGGCATGCCACCCCACACCAAACCCAGAAATCGGCCGAGCATTACTCGTGAGCGAGCAAGAGCAATAAAATGTGTATACTCTTTTTCACTTTTGTCACCTCAATTCTCGTGCTACCTCTTTTGTTATCAATTTGTTTGCAATAGAATTCCCTACAGGGATATATGCATATAAGGTCCAAAAGCCTGGCACGCCCCACCCGCAGCAAAGCCAAAAGTTGGCCAAGCGTTATCCATGAGCCAGCACCCATTGGCACACTCGCAAATGTATTTATTCTTTTCAAGTTTCTCACCTCAATTGTCATTGTATGTCATTCATTTTGGTACCAAATGTTCGCATTGGAATTCCCTACAGCAGTATATGCATATAAGGTCCAAAAGCCAGGTGCACCTCACCCGCAGCAAAGCCGAAAGTCGGCCAAGCGTTACCCTGTGAGCGAGCACCCATTGGCACACCCGCAACACCTGCTCACAAATATATTTACTCTTTTCAAGTTTCTCACCTCAATTTTCACCTCAGTTTGCAATAGACTGGAAAGACGTTGGCACACATTAAAACCAGTCCCATAAAGATCGGATAAAAACTTGAATTTTAACAAATATTTTAATTTTGAACGCCACCTACGTCCCTAAGGAACATCTGCAGAGTTATTTTTGGATGTCATCTCCGTCCCTAAGGAACAAAAGTGTTAATATAAATTGTACAGCTTTTGTGGAAATGGTAAAGGTTTTCTCTTATGTACCCAGTATTGCCGTGAAAGGAAATAATATACAGTACGTATATGTTAACTACTTGCGGGAAATGTTAGTTGATGTTTGGTGCTGTAAGAGCTTAGTAATTTGGATTCCAGTAACCTGAATCTCTTGAGAAATTTGAATGAATTAACATTCAGGTTTTTTATTTATTATTTTTTTTTTTTATCTTTTGACCCGAACAGGAATTTGAGAAACCCAAATAAATTTGATTTCTTGACTTCTCAACTTGAAAAGAAATTCGGGTTATTGCGATTTCTGCTGAATGAGAACCCCAAATAAGTTCAAATTTATTGAATTTTAACATTCCCAGTTAAAAATGAAACATCCAGGAACTTGAATGGGAGGATTTATGAGCATAAGTATTTGTGTGCATGCAGATATCATTGTAAAGACAAAAACAACATTAGTGTATAGAATCAATAGCCATCAAACCCTACAACATCAATTGCTATCGATGAAAATTTGGCTTTGCTACTCTGCTAAATTAGTTGTTAACAAATATGAATTATGATTAACATTATCTGTCACCTCCCTGACCTCACCACACCAACACCTCCCTGGCTTCGTCCTGCCTTCACTTCCCTATCCATGCACCATCTTCACCTCCCTGATCTGACCTGACCTGACCTTTACTTCTCTTATCTCGCTCCTCCTTCACCTCCTTGACCTCACCCCCACCTTCACCTCCCTGACCTCACCCCCACCTTCACCTCCCTGACCTCACCCCCCACCTTCACCTCCCTGACCTCACCCCCACCTTCACCTCCCTGACCTCACCCCCACCTTCACCTCCCTGACCTCACCCCCCCCCTTCACCTCCCTGACCTCACCACCACCTTCACCTCCCTGACCTCACCCCCACCTTCACCTCCCTGACCTCACCCCCACCTTCACCTCCCTGACCTCACCCCCCACCTTCACCTCCCTGACCTCACCACCACCTTCACCTCCCTGACCTCACCACCACCTTCACCTCCCTGACCTCACCCCCACCTTCACCTCCCTGACCTCACCCCCCCCCCCCTGACCTTCACCTCCCTGACCTCACCACCACCTTCACCTCCCTGACCTCACCCCCACCTTCACCTCCCTGACCTCACCCCCCACCTTCACCTCCCTGACCTCACCCCCCCCCCCTTCACCTCCCTGACCTCACCCCCACCTTCACCTCCCTGACCTCACCCCCACCTTCACCTCCCTGACCTCACCCCCACCTTCACCTCCCTGACCTCACCCCCCCCCCCCCTTCACCTCCCTGACCTCACCCCCACCTTCACCTCCCTGACCTCACCCCACCTTCACAAGGTCAGGGGAAAATATTGCAAATCAAATGCAATATCATTCATAGATAACTGGGAACACTTCTATGGAAGAAATTACATTTATGCTCGGGATGGGGTGCATCTTTCTAGGGCTGGGGGTTGTTGCTGTTGCGAACTCGTTGGAACTTGTGGTGGGAGGGTTTTGTTTGGGTTTAAACTGTTAGTAGATAGTGGTATGGGAATTGATATGGAGAAAGGAGGTAATAAAAGTATGTGTTTGTGGGAGAAACAAATTGGTAAAATGATCAGGGAAAGAGAAGGGCCTCAAAATAACAATACTGTAATTGGAGTTACATACAGGCCACCAAACTTAGACAGAATGGAAGCAAAGCATCTATGGGATGAAATATCTAGAGCATCTAGGTCTAACAGTATTTGTCATGGGTGACATTAATTTGAGTGGAATAAACTGATTTAACAGAACAGGGAATAATGAAACAGAAGATTTTGTAGAAATAACTAACGATTGCTTTCTTATGCAACAGAATAAGGAACCAACACGGGAAAATAATATTTTAGATTTACTGTTAACTAACAGGGAAACACAAATTAATGACATCAAAATAGGGAGTGAGCTAAGGGACAGTGATCGCAAAGAAATCAGATTTAGCATAGAATAGAATAGATCTGTAGGAGAAAATTCTGTTAAAGTGCCAGATTTTTGGAAAGCTGATTTTAATTGCCTAAGAAATTTTTTGGGTCAAATAGATTGGAAAGTCTTGGACATGGGGGGGTGGGCCGGTCTTGGAGCAAGACGTGAACCCAGCAATGGGTGATGTAATAAAGGAATTTCAATGTGGATTCAAAATATAACTTATTTAAAAAAAATTTAAATAAAGCACAGGAACGTAGTATGCCATACAAATTGAAAAGATAGAATACTAATGACCCAAAATGAATAACAAAGGATGTGAAAAACCTTATAGGTAGAAAGAGAGCTTAGCACAAAAAGATTATGAATGGGAAAGTCAGTTTAGAACAAGAATTCATATAACTGGTTTGAAATGTTAAAAAAGAGATGAGGAGGGCAAAAAGAAACTATGAAGTTCACATAGCAGCACAAGCAAAGGCAAATTCTAAAAGGTATTTTCAGTTATATCGAACAAAGATTAGGGAAAGGATAGGTCCATTAAAAACTGAGACAGGTCAGATAACAGATAACAATGAAGAGATGAGTAGTATTTTTAATAAATATTTTATCTGTATTTACTAAAGAGGAACTTAACTCTATGCCTTCAGCAGAACAAATCTATGTGGGTGGGGACGAAGATAGGTTGATTAGTTTAGCAGTTACCAGGGTTGATGTTATTAAACAAATAGTGAAACTCAAACCAAACAAATCCCCAGGGGCTGGACAAAGTGTTTGCCAGGGTGCTTAAAGAATGCAAAGAGGAGCTTTGCGAGCCATTGTCTGTCATATTTAATAAATTATTAGAGTCAGGCAGATTGCCAGAGTCGTGGAAGGTTGCTAATGTGGTACCAATTTTTAAGAAAGGAGATAGATCACTTGTGTCAAACCATCGGCCAATTAGCCTAACGTCTATTGTGGGAAAGTTACTTGAATCTATAATTACAAATACCATTCATCAAGAAATGATTCACAACATGGTTTTACAAATGGCCATTCATGTTTAACAAATTTGCTATCATTTTACTCCAGCATAGTTGAGGCAGTGGTAATGCCTAAAGTGGTATAGTTGGGCATTACCTCACTATAGTGGTAAGGTTTGTGATGTTGTGTACCTTGTCTTTAGCAAAGCTTTTGATACAGTGCCACGTGAAAGACATTAAAAAGATAGAGGCTCATGATATTAAGGGTGCTATATTAAGGTAGATCAGTTCATGGCTATACCAAAGGAAACAGAGTTAGTATAAATGGGGTTAAGTCAGAGTGGGAAAAATGTTGTAAGTGGAGTGCCTCAAGGCTCTATCCTGGGACTTTGTTATTTATAATATATATAAATGGTTTAGAATCAGGTTTGAGCAGCATTATTTGCAAATTTGCCAATGATACAAAAATTGGGAGGGAAATAAACACGGAAAAAGACTCACTATCACTTTAAGATGATCTAAATAGGGTTTTGAAATGGTCAAAAGATTGGCGGATGCAGTTTAATGCTGACAAATGTAAGGTTTTGAGGTGTAAGACACCTGGTG